GAAAACTTTTACTTGGAACTTCGATCTAACAGCAAATTACTAGCGATTTTGTAAAATTTATAAATGCAAATTGGTAGAAATTTACCAATTTCTACCAATTTCTCCTTAACAATGAAAATACGTAACTCTTTAATCCTTGGAATCACCCAGAAGCTGCTGATGTTTTGGATAGCTTAAAACCCGAAAGAAATGAAGCACACTCCTTAGAAGCTTGTCACAAGAGACCCTTTTCAGCGCTGTTTTAACAGAGAGGAACGACTAAGAGAGAAAATTAACCAGAAAGCCCTCATCCAGAGACCCTGGCTCAGGATGCTTGATCTTCCTTATTGAATGAATACCAAATCTCTCAAAGCAAAATCGCAGAAGGGCACTGAGGTCCTGGACACAGTAACTCACAGAGCAGAGGCTAGTGATGAGCGTGAAGAAGGTTGCTCACTCCACACCGACATCACTCAGTACAGAACAACTGGGCAATTAGCAGAGAAAACATTCCTAGCACCAAAGTCTGTTCGCGGTTCTCAGGGCAGTAATCCTACTCTCTGATTCCCAGGGCTACCTGGGCCAGTGCCAATCTCAGGATCACAGTGAGCTACCCAGTCCTTGGACTCACCCTTTCGCTCATAAAGTTACGGATATGACTAAGTTGCTGAATTTCGGCTATCCAAATCCACTGCTCGGCAATGAGTTCTACAGGTTAGCTGAACTCAGCCATTCGCAGAGAAATGTAATCCTTGGCCATGGGGAAAATCTAAAGAGGCAGACCAGACAGTTGACTTTTGCAAGGGAGGGCACGTACCCACTTGCACACGCTGGGTGATGGTGGCTGTGGAGCATGAAAGTACAACCTCGGGGCCTGGCAGAATGTCTTCCTGGAGTTGAGTCCTCTCGCAAGACTTGGCAGGGATGAGTGGATGCCCAGTTCCAGCAAATGGAAGCTTTAGTAGGTGAGGCTACTGCGTCCTTTCCCACAAAACTGCCGAGCACGTTCCACTCGTGTATGGCTGGATTGGATTTCCACAGGCCTAAAAGGAGGGGCAGAAAAAGGTAAAAATCTGAACAGCGTGAAAGGGGAGACCTGGGGTTACCACCAGAGACAACCACATGAGTGGCTTTGGGCAAAGCTGGGCAGCGGAGCCAGCGGTGGTCAGATCAAAAGTGCATCTGGCTCTCAAAGACTCCAGTCCCAAGGTAGGTGAGTGAGCAGCCGGTGCTCAAACAGAAATTGGCTGCCTGAGGCGCCGAGGTGGTTATTCCCCGGCTGTCTCCGGAAAGTCAACCCCTCCCTGGTGTGAAGGGGTCGGCCTCCTAGGTCCTGCAGCAGCCAGCCCTAGCCCGGGCTGCTTGGGAAACCGAACTCTCCCTGCAGGGCGGGGCTCGAATTCCAGGTGTGTAGAGGGGAAGATCTGGAGAGTGACTCCGCCCCAGCATGGGGATCTGGGCAAAAGGGCAGGCCTGGCCAGACGTCGCCCTTGCCCTCGGCCACCAGCAGGCTCCAGGGGGGTGAGCTGAAGACCGCTGATCGGGATCGAGGCCCCGGTATCCGGCTGCGGGCTTGCGGAGGTGCAGGCGCTGGCGGGGAGCAGGCGAAAACGGAGTGAGGCCCACCTGCAGCTGGGTTGTGAAGAAGCAGCGGCTGCTCCCAAGCAGCAAGGCGTCACCGCCGGCGGCCGTGCACCGGAAACCTCGGGCGCCCAAACGGGGCCAGGGGGCGCCCGGGAGCAGCCGCGACACCTTGGCCTGGGGCTCCAGGGCGGACCGGAGTGACCCAGGCCACACCCGGCGGCCCGATTGTCTGGAGGGCTCTGTTGGCCACCCATCAGCTAAGGTTACCGAGACTAGTAGAACCAGAAGCTTATCCACCCCAGACGCGGGACACACGCCTACATTCCCCCAGACTCGGGACACCCATCTCCATCTCTCCAAACGTAGGACACCCGCCTACATCTCCCCAAATGCGGGACACTCAGCTACAAATCTGTGGCAGTTCTTCCAGGCAGGCCACTAGCACTGGAGAGCAGGCGCTGTTACATGTCACCTACGGTTGGAATTTTACTGCTTTTTCCTCCTGAGTCGTTGCCTTGATTTTCAAATGAAACTGAATGTAGCGGCACACTGTCTGGTGGGTATTGAAGACGCGGGAGATTCCAAGGAGTTTTACTTGTCCATTAACTGCCTAAGTTCAAAGGCTACTCTAATTTTTATGATTTTGCTATTTCATGATTATTTCTATTCTGGTTGCTTGTTTATGTGGTCATGATCATTTGCATGTGAATCTCCCCTTCTTTTCTGCTCTTGGCACCTTGCAGTTCCAGCATGTCTTCTGGAACGTGGTAGAGACAACCATTAAGTCTGATTCAAGACTTGCCATGCGGGGCACTAGGACTTGAACTCAAAGCTACTAATTCACACTAGCAAGCATCATGACTTCACCTCATTTTAGTAAAGGCAACTGAACCCGGGCCTTGTGCATTTTACTGTAGCGGTGACTTTGGGAAATGTTCCTTTCAGTCTATTATTGTGTCAGGAAATGCAACTTTTCTGTTAGTAAATGCAAAACAAACGAGTGTAGTCATTTTAAACCAACTTTAAATGAGCTTCTTTTGAAGTGCAATAATACACAATTAAAAACACACTGCAGGAGGTAAAAGGCTTCTAAACAGATTAGTCTAAGATAAACTAATCAAACTGGTAAGCTATCTACTTGGTGTTCTTTTTGATACCAACATACTGAGCAGTCATTGAGAGTTGTAGGAAACAAGTTATGGGATTTTAAAAATGAAACTGAGTTCTGTATGAACTGTTAACAGCCATTCCCAATTTCCTCAAAATAAATCATAAAATTTTAATTTTTGACTCTCTTCAAACTGATATTAACATCAACTCAAATGTCACCACGAGAAAACTGGAAAAGTGAGTGACTAAGCTAGCTGTGCTGTGTTAACTTTCAGTTACAACAACAAACCCCAAATAATAAAATTAGAAGATTTGGTTTTTTTAGCGTAGTTCAAGTGTTACTTCTTGGACCATAAAGATGGCTCAGGGTACTTGCTGCACAATGAAGGAGAGAACAAAATCCAGCACTAAGCAAGTGCAACAAGGAATTCATGGTGTCTCTGTACACCACACAGCACTGCGTGGAAAAGGAACCTACCACTTACCCGAGAGGTACAGCACACACACGAATGGACTACTTCACAGGTGAGAGGATATTTCAAATGTTTACTCAAAGGAAAAAATATTAGTATACAAGGACAAGTGATTTTGGAAGAAAATTTAAAAAAATATAGAGCATTCCTTGAAAACTGAAATGGACCTAGATTCTCCCCAGCTGCTACATACAACACAAAGGAACCACCTTAAACACTTCCAAACACAAATTGCACCTCCTTAGTGGGAGCTACCTTCAAGACTGGAAGAATTAAAACAAACAAACAGAAAGAACTTAGACTGTTCTCAGCAGATGGCACGGTGCGATGTGCCAAGCTGAAGGGGTACAAGGGCAGCTCCGACGCTGCATGTCCCACCACACAGGTCTATGAGCAAAGAAGCACCTCTCTGAATTATATTAAAATGAAATACATGAGCAGATTCATGCTTATTTATATTACCTTTCGTGTGGAACTAAAATAATATCAGTCTATATTTTAAATCATATTTTAGCCCTTTACAAAATATGTAGATAACTTTTTTAAGTTTCAAACTAAAGGTAAAGAAAATTGGAACAGCTTTTTTTTATTGAAAATGAGAAATGATTCCCAAGAACATCTATGTATATAATATTGAACAAACAGTAGTAAAAATAAGACATTTTCACTCATTCCTCTTTAATCCGGGGACTTTCTTTTAAATACTACAAATCATGTGCTTTTTAATAAGCACTCAAATAAAACTTTCAATTAGTTAAATAATTGAGGAATAGGGTAAATACATTTACTTTACTATAAAAACTCAAATTCCAGTAAGTAAAAAATCATCCAGACCTAGAATATTCTGAATTGTAATATTATGTATTTGATACATGCTAAATGCTATGAAGTGATCGCTAGAGAGGCCAGACAGCAGCAGTCTCTTCATCCAGCCTCCCAGAGGCACGAGCATCTGATACCCCCAAGTTGTCCGTGCCTCTTTCACTCTTAATTCCTACAGTCTTTCTTGTTTCTCAAGAATGGAAGAATAAAACTACAAACTATGTTTTTTTAACTACAAACTATTTTATGCACTAAAATATTCTACTAACATATGACTAGAGAATTTTCAATGATATACAAGCAAATAAGTTTAATGAGAGAGCAACCAATATTTAATAAATATTCGGCCACCTACTGGATTATCATGAAATTTATTCAGTACCCCTTATCAACTTGAAATATATTGAAAGGTCTAAATATATAGTAGTCAAAATAAAAGCAGTATGAATACCAGCGATTAATTTGTAGGTGAAGCAGACAATATGGTAGATATAAATGGTTGTATGTCATTTTATAAATAAGTTGAAAACACTTTAAGATTTTAAGTGTAGCTGATTTTATTAGTAAGGACCAAAAAAAATATTTAATGTTGATAATGTAACATTTAGAGTTTAATATAGGAAATTTTAATTTCAAAATCATTTCTCTGCCACATTTTTAAACTATTTGTTTAAAAACTATTTCATATTTCCCAAACTACCAGTTTCAAATGCTTGCCAAGAATTTTGAAATTGAGGTTTATTGTCTCTTCTAACTGTACATTTTTTATTGCTTCAAGATTTGTCATCCTGCCCTTGAATATTAAAAGTTGATTTTCTTCTTGTTGTTTTTGTGGTTGTTGTTGTTTGGTTTCTTTGAGACATGGCCTCACTGTGTAGCCCAAGCTGTCCTAGAACAGAGATCCACCTGCCTCTGCCTTCCAAGAGTTGAGATTAAAGGCCACCACCACCCAGAGTAAACATTTTAAAGCTGGAAAAAAATTAAGAGGTAGCTTCCTAACACAATACAGAAACTTGGTTTTATGACCATGACTTTCACCAAAAGGACATTTATTCATGCTACAAACCATAGATATCCAATGACAGAAACACTGTGTAGAACAAAAGGAACAAAAATAAGGCCAATTTAAATCAACCCCCAAACTCTCCATTCTGCAAGATGGCTACTCACAGTCATGTTCTGAAGTACTGTTTAATATGTAAATAAAACTTACAGTTTTTATTTGAAATCCTACCTTCTCATTGCAGGGAAAACAATTTTAAGACCCTCACTGAACACCTGAAATAGTAGAAGCTACCAACCTCCAGTAAGATAGCCAACAGTGATGTTCACCCTTTCATTAAATGGAAGAACTCCTGGCTAACCTTTGACATCTTCACAGTGGGGCCACTACAGAGGCTTACCTGAACACAAGCACTTCTAAACCATGACAGTAGACATGAGGTGTCAATAGCTCAGTGACTAACAAGGAGGTGTGGCTGTGCTGAACAAATGCCAGCAGGCCACTCTGAACAGCATACACTCTGTACTTATAAACTCTGTAATTTCCATGTACCTTTGAATTATTGTTGACCGTAGAACCACAAAAAGCAAAAGAACAGATAAAGAAGGGCTATAATAAAAGCAGTTAAATAATTTTCAGTAATAAAATTAAAATATTTTACAGGTCTAAAATACAACCTGATTAACTTTTAAACAAAGTTACATTTGGAAAAGGACAGAACTATGTTCTAAAGCTATTCTATACTACTTTTTGTTATTTTTTTGCTTGTTGAAGCTTCAAGAAAAACATGTTGAACTACACAAAATTATAAAATCTCCAATTTAAATGTACTCCTATAACGTTTCTGGTTTGCTATGGAGATTCTTTTTTAAAACATTCATTTTTAATGTCCCAAAATACAACTGTATAAAATTAAGCAAGTAGTTTTTAAAAAGTAAATTGACTAAATTTTGAGTAAAATTTGTCAGTGATTTTTATGTTAGATTCATTTCACAGTGTAGTAAAATACTTCAAAATTACCTGCTACTAATGCTATCTATCAGAATTTACTGCAGGCAAAATTTCCCACTATCCAATTATGCCTAGTTAATATTAAATATTTATAACTTTCTTTGGATAAGTACCAAAAAAGGATCTACATTTGTTCCCACTCATTGTGGAGCCACATGGAATAACTTTTCAAAACGGAAATATTTTAAGCCTAAACCACTCTTTAAATTTTAGTCATGTCAGTGTGACTTCTGCTTATAATTTAGTCACAGGGTGATAACCTTCCACCTGAACGCTCCAAACACTTTCAAGAAATATGTTGAAGATCTCAGTGTGAAAGACTTCAAAGTTTCAATGTTAACATTACTCTGTAAGTCTCTCAATATGTACAAACACATATAAATTATAGATACAATTAATTATATATCCACAATAATATGAAGACAGCAATCTCCTTTCCTAGCTGGACTGCTATGTGGATAAAGTAATAACTCTCTGTGCTGTTCAAGGCACAAAAAAAAAGCCTTAAAAAATTTAAAGAATAGTTTCAAAAATAAAATTCAAATATTGCACAAAATAATTTAACTGTAAATATAACTACATACTCTAAAAGAATTTTTTAAAAAGTTTTTTTACACTCTACAGCAAATTCCATTTTCTAACTCTATAAAAGAATTTATTGGAAGTCTGCGTTTATATATTAAGTGTTTACATTCAGTTTGATGGGTACGAATTTCACAAGTTAACTGAGCCTTTGTCTTAGAAGCTCATCTATTTGAGTTTTATACATATTTTTTACATCTTCAAGATCCAGGCGAAGTTCCTCTGCTTCTTCTGCCTTTTCTCCATACATCTGCAGAATAGTGTTATATCTTTGATCCAAATCCTAAAAAAATATGTTTATAATCTTTTAATGATCATACAAATATCTAGTTGTTACAAGTCAATAGAAAAAAATCATAAGTTGAACAAAATATTATTTTTAAAAAGATTAAACTTACCTTTTAATAAATTAAACTTATACCAAGTCTACCTAGGAATACAGAGCCAAAAAGAGGAACTTCTTTGGAAACCTCAATGGAGGACTGAGGAGACGGCTCAGTGGGTAAGAGCACTTGCTGAGCAAGCATGAGGAGCTTACTTCTAACTCCAACATTCACATAAAAAAAAAAAAGTCATGTGGCCTGTAACCCCAGAACTAGGAGGCTCACTGGAGCTGGTGGTCAGTCAGCCAGCCTCCCCATAAAACAGCGAGCTCCAGGCTCAATGAGAGTTCTGTCTGAAGGGTTAACAAGGGGGAGAGTGATAAAGGGGGGCACCTACTTCTTCTTACAGCCTCCTAGCACACATCCCAGCACATGTGCACACATGTACATACACTCCCCCACACACACAATCGATAATTCTCTCCAAATATGACTTAATCAGTCTCCTTCCCATTACGTACCCTTGATGAGATTTTTGTCTTCATGACTAATTTGGTCAAGTATTGCTTGGCATTTATCCCACAAGTCTGCCAAACATTCAATTACGTCACAGTAATGTGATGAAGCAAACATTGAGTCAAATACTATAAAGCATGCAATGCACATGCTTGCTTTAATAAGTACTGGCCACATAAAGTCTTGTTTTCTTTGGCAGTACTCAACATTTGTGAAAACACTTTAGATATGTAACAATATAATAGAGATTCATCTTTAACATTCTCTACTCAACTACTTCCTCCTTAATTTTCAAAAAAATTACCAAGTCGTACATATGCATTATGTAAACTAAAGACATGATATTTAATAACTGGATTAAAATATCTTAGATGTATTTTTAAGTGAAGAATACTTACTCGTAGCTGAACTCGAAGCTTGGGTATCTCTTTCACTTTCTCCTCCAGTTCATCATTCTGATTTGTTAGCTTAACTAGCTCTTCAGACATTATGGATCGAGTTTTTTCTAGATTGCTAATTTCTAGCTGAGAAATATAACCATAAAATGATTTCAATAAAAACATACCTTGTTTAATGCGCTCACTAACATAAAAATGTTTACTGTGTCATTTTTGAAGAAAAAGATCTACCAACATGTGCTAAACAGTGAGGGAAAGGGGCTCCAACTTTCTTCAGAAGTTATTCATTTATAGAATTACTATGCAAGAAAGAAAGAAATTAAATACAACGATCTGTCTAAAAAAAACGCAACTGTGTTTTTCTCTAATCTAAGAAAACAACACACATTTCCATTATTCTAAGTTACTGGAAAAAGCCACAGGAATGAGAACAAACTTCAGTGTTGTCCTCCCAGCTATATAGGTTGTATCACTAAAGCTTTCACCACCATTCAAGAAACTACCCAAGGTTCTCAAGCACAGCACACTGGGCTACATCCACCAATACACATCAACCCACTTTATAATTATTCAAATGGGAAAGGAAGAGGCACTCATTTTGAATGTGTACGTTTAGCATTGAAAACTAAAAAATGCTAATTCTTACTCCATAAGCAATAATTCTTATAGTTCCCTCATTTTTGTGCTGTTTCTTCTATGTACAGGTCTCTTTCACTTTACTCATTACTTGCACTGAAGAAGTTAAGATAAAGCAAGCATGCTGATTCAGCACTTCCTTTTTTTCTTGTTGAGAAAAGATGCTGGGAAGGAGTGGGCTATCCCTGCTCTTAGATGTCCCTGGGCAGGCCAATGGCACAAGGCACCTAGTATTTCCTACGATAGAGCAAATAAATCTGCCTAATCCTGGCAGTCAGTCAGTCAAGAGGCTCACTTGGTTCTAGCTTATATCATTACCATATGTGAGACACTTTGGTTTTCTATGTCACCAAGTCATTTTATTTCCCAATGTGCTCAGAATTCAAATGGAAATGAAGGCTCACTGGGTCCCAGCATCTCATAGGCTTCTGCAGCAGACTTAGTTTTTCCCAATACCTGTAAATGACTAATTTCTCCTTCCCTCAGCTTTAGTTGAGACTGCAGATTTTCAATGATGCTCGATCCTGCTCCCATCCTTACAGCTTCATAGAGATTGCTTCCACTGGCTGACGAAGACATTGGCCCAAATGAATGGTCATGAGACTCATCCTATGCAGTCAAAGAACACAGACCAATATAATACGTCTGTTATCAAGTTCAAACAAAGATCCTGTTCATTCTGGATTTGAAATGTCTATGAGTGTCTGAAAAGCAGAAAATCATCTGTATTTCTTTACTTCAATTAGCACCATATTCTGATAAACGTCCCCAACAATGTCATGGTGACAGCCAGTCTGACACTGCATGTTCCCGTACCATCACTCAAGTTAGAGCTAAGCACGTAAGAACAAGCCCTTACCTGGGACAGGAAAGATGTCTGCAGCCCTGCCATATCTACCCCACTTACAGAGCTCGAGCGTGATATGGTGGGAGTACTAGAAACGGAAAACGGTTTGTGGTCCTTAGGAAGAAAAAAAAATCTGTGAGATTGAGAAGCAAAAAACGAGGGAAGAAAAATTTCTAGAACAAAACAAAGGCATTAAATTTCTCCATAAAATGTTATAAATACAATCCCTCAAAACCAGAAGTCTTGGCAGTATAAAAAGCATTTAAAAATTAAGAGCTGAGCTGGTAAGATGGTTCAGCAGGTAAAGACGCTTGCTGCCAAGCCTGACCTGAGTTCAATCCTAGGACTCATATGGTTATAAAGAGGGAAACAACTCTAGCCTGGTATCCTCTGACCTCCACACATACATCATGGGATGCAGGCACACACACACACACACATACACGCACAAAAAATTATTCAAAAACTCAAAATAAAATACACTTTTAATTAAAATTAAAAGCCTGCATTGCCCCATGTATATTATAACACAATTAGTCAGGTTTATATTTTTAACACAATAAGAAAGCTTTGGTTAAAATGCCTGCAGAAGGTACCTACTTCACATTATATAACATTGTCAATTACCCTTAAACTTGCTGAAATTTCCGACTTACTCATTTTATTTTAGTGTATTAGAAATAAAAAACAACAAAATACATGGGGGCTGGAGAGATGGTTCAGCAGTTAAGAGCACTGGCTCAATTCCTAGTGGGAACATAGTGACTCACAATCTTGTTTAGGGACTCTGATGCCCTCTGATGGCTTCCAAGGATACTGCATGCATGTGAAACAGACACACGTGCAGACAAACATCCATACCAATAAAATAAAACTAAAATCAAAAACTCTAAATACACTGAAAAGGTAATTTCCATTTTTGTTTACTATTTTAACGTATTATGTTAACTCTCAGTATGTTACAATACTTAAAGTATAGTAAACACTTTTTGTAAAAATTACCTTTAGGAACTAAGGAGGTGGCTTAGTGTGTAAAGCATGGAGACCAGAGTTCAGATCCCTAGAACCCACAGAAAGTCAGGCAAATGTGGTGGCTGCCTGTAATCCCAGCACTCAGGAGGCAGAGACAGGATTCCTGGAGCAAGCTAGCTAGTTAGACTAGCCAGAATCAGCTAGCTCCAGGTTCAGCAACAGACTTGCCTCAATAAAACAAAGTAGAGAATAATAAAGGAAGACACCCAATGTCAACTTTGGGCCTCCACATGCATGTGGACACAGACACACCTGCACATATGCAAATATGCATACACATATTCATGAGCACCAAATACATACACATGCAAAAAATAAACTTTAAAAAAGCAAAACCCTCAGTACGTTTACTAATTACAAAGACAGAACAAGCCAGTTCTATTCTGAAGTTGCCTACGGCGATTTGCTACACTAGTTTCAGTGAGAAACAAAACCCATTTGAAAGTGTAAAGAATTCAAAGCCAACCACAGACAGGTGGGAATGCACTCCAACTGTTCTACATAGAGCACTGACAATGCTCCCACAATTAGCAGTATAGTCATTTTAGACAGGAGGGGGGTGTCTTCAGACGTTAGTACAATTCGACCACAGACCAATGGCTCCCCACAACAGCTTAGCTATACAAATCAACTCAAACCAACACAATTCAGTACCTTTTCTTTCACTGCTTCTTGGGTGAAAATGGCTTTCTTCCTTTCTTGTTCAACTTTCATTTTTTCCATTTCTAACTGACTGCACAACAGTGTCTAATGGAGAGAGACACAGTTAGGTAGTTTGAGATACTAACCCACGGCATCATGAGTCAACTGCAGGGCTCAGAGTGTAAAATACAAGTCGCCATTTCACCACCCATCCAATGTCATCAGCAGTTTGTGCCATCCCCATGCATCTCTAATGCAAGTCCCGGAGGAGCGAACGAAGAGAAATACCTTTTCTTTCCTTGTCTCTTCAAGTGTTCTTACATATTCATCTTTTAGGTTTTCTAATTCAACCTGGTACCTAGTAAACCAGAGGGAATTAAAACAAAAAAGGTGACAGTACAGACTATTAAAAACTGTCTAAATTGTAAACTCCAGATACATATTTATAAGTCATTTCATTACCAGCTCAGCATCAAAGACTTCCCAACTAACTGTTTCAGGTCCCTGATACTCCCTCTACCCATCAGCTAAAGCATGAGTGAAAATTCTACTTTTCCCCATTTGTTTTTACCAGTCCTCTGAGATTTAAAATAAGACATTTAAACAGTAGTTTTAAGAACCATCATTCCAAGCTCAAAGGTGGCAAAAAAGCAGGGGTTCTATAGAATGTTTATAGAAATGTTGACACTTCATTTTCACTGAACTACTTTTCTTAACAGTAAATTTTCTTTGGATGTCAAGGGTGAAACACACCTATTATAACCTTATTATAATTTCAGATGAATGATTTTATACCCTGTGGTTTCAGAAGAATGCAAATACTTATTTAGAGAAACCTGAAGACTACTATAAAAACAACTTCCGTGCAGTCACCTCTCCTTCCCGCCTCCCTTCTTTTCTGTTGGTAGCATAGATTCTTAATGGGACAATTACTTTCCCTAGAAAAACACAGAAGATAGCATGTAACTTCCAAAGAAGTGCAATGGATCCTAGCACTAGCTTAATGCATATCACTAGGGACCCTGACTGGTATTCACTTTTAATTCTCAATGCAATGAAGCTAAAACCCAACAAACATACTTTCCAACAGTGATTTAAAATGTCATGGAACCACAGAGAATACCACACAAATACACTTACCGACTGTTTTCATCTTCCAGTTTTCTTAGTTTATTTTTCCCTGACTCTAGCTGGGCCTGAAGTCTACTGTTTTCCTGTCTTAAGAGAGAATTCTGTGACTCCACGGAAGACATCTGGGTTTTGTTGGCAAGGAGTTCTTCTGTAGCTGCACGTTCTCTTTCAACAGCTGCAGCCAACAAAGCCTGCGATTCACCTGATTATGGAGAAAGAAAAATCACACACATAAGTCAGGGAAAGATCAGACACCAGGCTGGTTCTGACTTCACACTTCTAAAGATTCAAATTCCCAGACTAAGACAAGACAACTGTGACAAGTAATCCACACGTTAACATTTTCTCTTCATAATATGATGTGGGAAGTCCTTCTGTATTTGTTGCTTTTATTGGTTAATGAATAAATCTGTTTCAGCCAAAGGTTTAGCAGAGTACAGCCAAGTGGGAAATCTGAACAGAGATATATAGAGAGATTAGGCAGAGTCAAGGAGACCCAGCTAGCTAGTCACCAAGGAAACAAGACATACAGAAAAGGAGGTAACGCCATGGCTAGAAATAAATCTCAGTAACAGGCCAAATAGTTTATAATTAATATAAGGCTCAGTGTGCTTCTTTGGGACTGAACGGCTATGGGACCGGGTGGGATAGAAACTTCTGTCTACAAGAATATTTACTTGAAAATAGTTATTCAGTAACAAGGTAGTGAATCAACAAATGGCTCTGGAGCAACTGAAAATGCACAAAACATCATAAATGAAAATTAATTCAAAATGGTTGACAGACACCAAAGAAAATCTTCAAGCTCTTGGGTCAGGCAAAGATTACTTTGACTTGACACCAAAAACATGAGTTACAGAAAGACAAATCAATTAAATGGAGCCCTTCAAAATGTTCAACTTTTACTCTAGGAGAAGAGATCAATGGGCTGGCTAGGGATATAGCTTAGTTGGTTGCTAACTATGTTGGCATGAGGCCATTTCCAGCCCTGCATAAACCAAAGGTGGTGGCACACCAAGACTTGGTGATAAAGGCAGGAAACCAGGAGTTCAAGGCCATCCTTGGCTACAGAAAGATTGAGGTCAGCCTGGGCTATGAGACCCTGTCTTTTCTCTTTTCTAAATAAAAGGACAAAATAAGCTACAAACTGGGAGAAAAAAATAAATGCAAAACACACATGTAGGTTTAGTACATAGAATATAAATAAAACTCTCAAAAGTGAAAATATAGACAGCTGAGTCAAAAAATGAACAAAGGCTATGAATAGACAAGCAGAAAATAAGCACACAAAACTATGTCCAACATCAATTGTCACTAGGGAAATGGAAGCTAAAATTATGAGATAAAAGACTTTCTGAAAAGTAAGTAAGTAAATGATTAAACAAATAAATTTACAGGACTGGAAAGATGGTTCAGAGGTTAAGAGCACTGACTGCTCTTCCAGAGGTCCTGAGTTCAATTCCCAGCCAACCACATGGTGGCTCACAGCCACCTATAATGAGATCTGGTGCCCTGTACTGTATACATAATAAATAAATACATCTTTAAAAAAATAAATAAATAGATATTTAAATAAATAAATTTACAAACCAGGGGCAACCCAAACTGCTGTCACGGTTGTGAGCCAACTGGATTACTCCCACAGGTATAGACACAGTTCAGCATTTCCTCTGAAAACTAAACACAAATGTCCATATGGCCCAGAAACTGCATATTTAGTCTGTCATGTAGAGACATGAAAATTTACACCTACACTTGCAGTAGCTTTATCTATAATTGTCAAAACCTGAAACCAGCCAAGATATCCTTTCCCAAGCAAACAGTTAATCAAACTACAGAAACAGACATTCCAGATACTAACACTAAACAACCAAAATAATAAAGTTTCAAAACATTAATAATGCTTTAAAAACATATTTTACTTAGTTGTGTAGACTAGAAGTATATGAATAGAGTAATATTCTCTATTCAGTCATTCCCCTCAGCCAACTTCAATGTCCCAAAGTTTAATTAACAGAACAGGGAAGCTGCCCTGAACTGAACTCAACACTTTGGAATGATAACCTTTATATGCATTTCAGGAGGCCCTGTTTGCATTAGGACAGCCTGAAGGAGCCCTGCACCTATTTATTGAGCTTCTCTGTCAACAAGACAGCAGTCCCAAAGGCTTCCAATGGTCCACTAAATACCACTTGAAAGCCAAGAATCTAGTCTGCCACCCCATGACTAACAAGGAGTCTTTCAATGACAGAGTCCGGAGTAAAGTAAGACTTGCTGCCGATGGAAGATAAACACAATACTACAGCAAACCCTTAGCTCCAGGCCCTCCCTCATATGCTTTGTCACTAGAACATGGCATCTCCTAAATCAAACATGGGAGTTTTGAGAACCAGAAGGTATGCATGAATTTTTCCTGAGTCTGTTAGCTTCTGGATATCCAGGATAGACACATACTACCTGCCTGTAACTAAAGAGAACCTTGACATTGTTTCCTTTATTAAGAGAGTGAGAAAGAGCTCGAGGAGTATCTATAAGAAAGCAGATATGCAGTCTTAAAACTCCATCATACCTCTCTCTAGGATTTCATCTTGATCCTCTTCAGACTTGCCTCTGCTCCTAGAATTCTACTACTATATGGAATTATATCAGATTGCTATTGCTTACATTCTTGTAGACAAGCTAGAAAGGGGTCAGATGCAGCAGTGGATGAGGGACAAGGAAAAGATTTGTCTAGCCATCTATAAAAGTAAGTAAAAGAATCAGGACTGGGGAGATAGCTTAGCAAAGTGCTTGCTATGTCAGTACAAGGACTCAAGTTGAGAGTCCCAGCAACATGTAAAAGGCAAGTGCAGGCATGTATACAGTCCCACAGCTAGGCAGGCAGACACAGGAGAATGCATGTAGTTTGCTAGCCAGCCAGTCTAGACAAATCAGTCAGCTCCAGGTTCAGGGGAAAAAATAAGGAGAAGCAATTGAGGAAGACACCAGACATAAACCTTTGGCCTCCACACAGATGCACATAGTATGTGCACATACATTTTCACATGTACTTGAGCATGCACACACACATATACACCCACCCCTCACAAATGAAATGGCAGGCAATAAAGTATCTGACACATTGTATAAAGAAAACTAACTGCTTTAGAAGAGTCATGATTGAGGTATTAATATAAGCAGGAAAATGGGGGAAGACAATCTATACATGTCGGACCCCAAATGTCACCATGAGATCAGATGAATTTCAATGACATACCACTATCCTACTTCTACACACAGGACAGAAAGCCTCCTGAATCAAACATAAAATACTAAAGAGATTACCAAGCCTATCAGAAAGATTCTTCTCTAGTGTCTCCCACGATGAAGTCTGAGACCCTAGAGTTGCCTGCAGGTTTTCTATCTGCCGAAGCAGCGGTCTTGTTGTTGATGAGACACTTTGACTTAGCTCTTGATTTCGATTCTCTGCTTCTTGGAGTCTCTGAATCAAAAATTTTTCACATTATTATCACTGACAGAAACAAAAATCACTAAAAATGCCAGCAAACCTAAACTTTGGTTAGACTTCTGGAAAAAGAAAATTTTTCCAGAAAAAAATTATTAGCTTTCTTACTAAAAACATATAAACTGAATATATAGCAAATCTATCATGATAAAATTACTTCCTTTAAAACATAATTAAGAAATATTCTTTTTTTTTCCCCAAGGGGATAACTTTGGTTCACATAAGCTACAAAAATACATCCAATAGCAGACAAGGTAATAATGCTTTCAATCGAGGAATACTAGCCCAGGGATCATGTTTGACCTTGTGCTTGGGAAAGCTGTGACAATACCTGCTGAAGGTCACTGATCTCGTGCCGTAAATAGTCCTCTTTCCTGGCAGCTGCTTGCTCTGCCCGTTGCAGTGCCAGCCTAAGGTCCCCCACCTGCAAGACAAACAATGCTCTTACTGTCAGAGCACTGGCTGCAACTTCATGCTGATGACATTTATGTTGACTTTGTATGTATGACACTTCACACCAAACAATGAGCACATATCCGGCTCCTTAAGCAATGCCAGAGCTATAAATATATTCTCTTTTCTCAAGAAAGCACTGTTAGCCAGAGAAAAGCATGCACACATGTACAACACTGACAGACAATAAAATAGAGGGGAGACCACGTATGTATAAACATTTGCCAAAACACAGAATGTGATAAGAACTAGATGAGATATAAATAAATAGGTAAATAAATAAAACCTCGGCACTGAACTAGATGTGGTGGAATACACCTGTGATTTCAGTATGAACATTCTGAGTCCCGGGCCAGCCTAGACTATGTAGAAGAGAGAAACACAAAGATCTATGCTATATAGTAGGCATTATCTAAACACTTTCAAAAAACTAAAACTAAAAGAGAGAAGTGTTAGCAGAGGGTGACGGTGTGGGCCTGCAGACACGGCTATTAGGGAGAGGCTAGGATGAGCACTGAGGGTCATTTGCATAGCAGTCTAAGCACTGTTTCAGAACAAAAACAAGAAAGGTGCCGCTCATATACACTTGTACACTTTGTAGCTGTCTACTGTGGCGCCATATTTAACTAATTAAACAAAGCTGCCAGGCTTCTATCTGGTTATTGCAGTCCTGAAGACTTTCTCTATGGAGCACACAGAGCTGCCCTGCAGCAAGCCCAGCAACAGCAAAATAAAACCAGAGCTCTACATAGACATCAGTATTATAATCTGCTCAAACGTTGATACATGAACACAAGCGTTAAAAATTATAATCGCCAGGCACTGTGGCACACACCTTTAATCCCAGCACTTGGGAGGCAGAGGCAGGCGGATCTCTGTGAGTTCGAGGCCAACCTGGTCTACAAGAACTAGTTCCAGGACAGGCTCCAAAAAACTACAGACAAACGCTGTCTCAAAAAAAAAAAAAGCCAAAAAAGTATATAAAAATTATAATTGATGCATAAGATATTATTCATCCTAAATGAATATAATATCTATAGTTATCAATTATATTAAAAAAACTAGATGGAGTTAATGTTAACAGAGGCCATACAAATTAGCAATCCATATATAGCATGGTGGTTTTAAGAATGACAGACCCATACTCTATTCCTTACTCCCTCAACTTTTCTTTATTATTGTATTTTTAATTTGAGAGAATTTTTAAAGAATTTTTAAAAATTGGCATGTGTGTGTGTAAATGTATGCATGTGTGCTACATGTGTACAAGAGCCTGTGGAGGTCAGAAAAAGTCACTGGACCACCTGGAACCGGAGTTATAGGCAGTTATAAGCTGATAAGTGAGACCCAGGAACCAAACCTGGGTCTGCAGTGCAGTAAGTGCTCAGCTGCTGAGCCATGGCTTTAGTCCACAAATTTAAAATAGTAATATTCTGTACATTTTCTTGACAGGGGGCAGAAATACATGGATATATAGACTATGGCATGACTTACAACAAAACCATCAAAAATATAACTGAAAATTACATAGCGAAGTGGCATAAAACTAAAACTTTGAGCTCTACTAATACACAACCATCAGCATAGTCTGGACAGACTGTGGAAGACAAGGCTCCTAAACAAAAGGATAATAACACCCCACTAAGTTCATGAAGCAAGTTGTAAAGGAGTAGGAGTGTAGTCTTTAATGTAAGGAGGGGACAAAGGTGCCTGGGTGACTTGACTGAAAAGCAGACATAATGCAGTTCCTGCATCTACAACAGAAACACTGGGAACATCGGCCAAAGAGCAGCAACAAAGAGGAGATAAATTAGAAGCAAATGCTGTCTGACTGTATTTGTTATATAGCTTTCAACTCTAATTTATCCACCAAAAATATAAAACACAAAACCAAAAGGTAACTGAGGTTTCTGAGGATAGTCTTGTGTGTTTTAGTTTGGTTTTAACAGTTCTGGGTAAGCTAGATATCCATATACATAAGACCTGTTGTGGAATGGAGCTGCAGCTAAGTAGGGCAGCACTTGCCGGCACACCAAAGGCCCTGGTCAGACCCCTACACTGAAAAACTCAAAGTGTAATGAATATTTACAGCAGCATCATTAATGATAGCCAAATGGTGTGTTTCAGATGTTCAATATCTGACGACTCTTTTTTTTTTCTTCAAGATAGGGTTTCCCTCCATAGCCCCGCCTGTCCTTTAAGTTGCTCTATAGACTAAGCTGCCACAAACTTGCAGATATCTGCCTGCCCATGCTTCCTGACTGCTGGAATTTAAAGGCGTACACCTCGATCATCCAACAATATTTGATGATTTTGAAAACAGTGTGTTCCAAACCCTTTTCTTTTTTCATCAGGCTCATGAATCAACTGTACAATGTAGTCTCTTGAAACAGTATGTTTTAATTATATGCATCTACATTACTCTGGCAGTAGGATACCTAGTTTCATAAAATTCTCCTTCCTCTGGCAGTGCTGGGCGCTCTGCACATAAGAGGAAAAGGCTCTAACAGTGAGCCATGCCCCCCACATTATGTACGCACATACTCACAGGAAATCAAGCAATAACGGTATGGTATGTGCACCCCACTAAGGCAGTTGTTCTCTGCCTTTCAAATGCTGAGACCCTTGCTCAAGTTCTCCCTCCTTCTGCTCCTCATTTGGACCTTGGGAGCTCTGTTCAGTGCTCCAATATGGGTCTCTGTCTCTAGCTTAATCCATCGCCAGATTAATTATGGTGATATGCAAGATATTCATCAGTATGGCTATAGAATAGGGCCATTTCAGGCTCCCTCTCCTCAGCTGCCCAAGGATCTAGCTGGGGACATCTCCATGGACACCTGGGAACAAGGAAGTCAGGACGGCGAGGGGTGCGTCCACCCACTGAGACGCTGGGGGCTGATCTAATGGGAGCTCACCAAAGTCAGCTGGACTGGGACTGATGGAGCATGTGATCAAACCGGACTCTCTGAACATGGCGGACAAGGAGGGCTGACTGAGAAGCCAAGGACAATGGCAGTGGGTTTTGATCCTACTGCACGAACTGGCTTTGTGGGAGCCTAGTCTGTTTGGATGCTCACCTTCCTAGACCTGGATGGAGCGGGGAGGACCTTGGACTTCCCACAGGGCAGGGAACCCTGACTGCTCTTAGGACTGGAGATAGAGGGGGAGGGGGAGGGGGAGGGAGAGGGAAATGGGAGGAGGGGAGGAGATGGAAATTTTTAATTAAAAATAAATTTTAAAAAAAAGTAAATAAAAAAACATAGTTCCTCATGCTGTGGTAACCCCAACCATAACATTATTTTCGTTGTTATTTCATAACTGTAATACTGCTACTGTTATGAATTATAATATAAATATCTGTTTTCTGATGGTCTTAGATGACCCCTGTGAAAGGGTTGTTCAACCCCCAAGGAGCTCGTGGCCCACAGGTTGAGAACTACTGCACTAAGGGCATTTTAAAAGACATGTAAATGAAGTTTGTGCAATCAGTACTCTAAAATGCCAGTAACATAATCTCAGAAGCCTACCAGATGTACCTCATATAAGAACAGACTCACAGTTGCTAATGAACTGTTTTACTTTGCAGAAACAAGCACAGATACATAAAAGGTAACTTTAACCACGCACTGCCTACCTGAAGTGCTAACGCCTCTTGCTGCTGACGGGCTTCTTCCTGGGCCTTCTCCAGTGCCGCAGAGACTTCTTCCTTCGCTTTCATCTCACGCCTCAAAGCAGCTTCCTGCACCTCACTGTCCTTAGCAGCATTGGCTTTGTGAAGATCAGTAAGTTCTCTTGTAAAAGTAGATTGATAGTTTTCATTTATTAATAGAACAATGCAAAAGTAAACACAAACCCACACTAATGTAATTTCCATGTACCACAGAAATCTCACAATAACAGTAAGCACACCTTATAATAACGCTAGCCATTATGAGGACTATGCTAAAGTTGCTTTGTCTAACTCACTCAAGGGCAAATCTATAAATGTTGCTAGCAATCAGATAATAGAAAAGAGAATAGCTGGAGAGACTGCTCAGTAGTTAAGAATTGCCAGCACCCACATGGCAGCTGACAACGGCTGAACTCCAGTTCTAAGGATCAACAACTTCTAGTCTCCTTGGGCATGTGGTACATAGATATGCATCCAGGCAAAATACAACACATATAAAGTAATTTCAAAAAATAAAGAAAACGGACTTCTTCAGTCTCCCACTGTGGTAACAGATTCTAAACACACTGCATATTTCATACCTGTACGCACTATCTAGAGCAGCCTGAGTACTTCGGCTCTTTTCTTCAAGTTCATCCTTGTCTACCTGAAGTCGGCCAAGATCCTTCTCCTGGCGTTCTACCACAGAATTTAGTTTTCTAATATTTTCTCTATGTTGTTTCTCAACTTCTTCTTTGCCATCAAGGATCTATGTTAAAACAGACAAGAACACTTTTGGATAAATGATGACATGGTAGCTAGTGCCAAGAATCTCTAATACTGGCTATAGCTTGAACAGAAAATTGCCCACCAGAGCATGTGTCTGAACGTGTGTTCTGCTGGTGGTGGTGCTTTGGAAAACTGTGAACCTCTGGCTGGAGGAACTAGACCACTGGAGAACAGGCCTTCAGGGTCCGTCCCGCCTCTCTACTTCCTGGTTGGCACAATCACAAACAGCTGCCACACACTTCTGTCACCACACACCACGCTGCCTGTCACACCTTCCCACTCCGGTGGAATCTCCTTCAAGCTGCTCATGTCATATCCAGTGTCGGGTCACAGTGATGTTAGCTACCCATTTATCTATGAGTCTAAAACCTTGCAGTCATTCTGAATGCCCCACAAGCCATGGTAAATTACAGGAAGTAACAACACATAACCAGAGAACACGGACAGTCAGTCACCTGTCTTAAATGCTGTAACTCCTCTTCCAGCTCCTTTGCTTTTCTGTTCAGCTTTGCAATAACATTTTCATTGTCTTTGTCTTTAGTTCTTAATTTCTTAATGATGTTAGAATTATGCAGCTGCTGCTTTGAAAGTTTTTCTCCTGGTGATTATAAAAAAAAAAAGCATAAATGCCAAAAAACAGTGATTCTTTAAGAATCTGCATAGAAAGCTTTATCTAACCAGTAGCATCCATGAGTTCTTCTCTAATGCCATAACAATTTTAAACTTCAGTGCTAAAATTCACTTGAGCGTGAATTATCAATGAATACTAAAATTATGACGTGAAAGGATTCTAGGAAACAAGACGCTAACAGTCTTCATTTGATCTTTAGCTTCAAACTCAGCATCCTAGATACAACCTCGACCTCCCAGCTGATGGGATGACTGGTGTGTACCACCACAGCCAGCTTACAGCATATTTTAAAAGCTACACAGCATGTATTTCTTTCCCATTCTTCCATAAACCGTTACAAGCCACTTGTGTGGTTTAAGTCCACACCTTCTGTGTTTTCATTTCTCATAACCTCTCCTTTTCTTGTTCCTCTTGTTCCCCCCTCTTGCCCCCCCTTCTTTCTTTTCTGAGGGCAGCTGCTGTGTTACTCAAGTTTATCTTCACCGGCTGGGCTCAACAGATCCTCCAGGCTCCTGTGTCGCTAGGACTACAGGTGTGTCCCGCTATATGTTATTAGAAAACATATACTACCTATTACATAGTATTTTTCCTTTTCTTGGACTATTTTTAATAATCAGCACAATACCCACCTTCTTCCATTAACCCTTGAATCTGCTCATCTTTCTCCTTCAAGAGGTCTGCAGTCTGACTACTATTTAATCTAGTGGCAAGTTCTTCTTTTATGGTTTTCACTTCCTAATTAAAAAAAAACTGTGGTTATCATAAAGAATTCTTTTCATCCTAGGATGTTTCCCCAGCTTTCCCGTTTGAAGAAGCCACCCATAATTGCATCCCATAATAAGTCTGTCAATTGAATCACCTATTACCTAGTTAACTGAGACACAGAAACAGCTTTGAATACCACACAAAAGCCCATACTCATCAGTTATATAAACACGGAAACACGAGTAAAATAACTTCCTATACTGTCCTTCACTATCTCTCTAGGCCACGCTCTGCATCTGGAACACAGCAGTATAGGACAGGAAGGTTTGTTAAGTGTCTCAAGTTACTGCCAGTGTCTGAAGTGAGCTAGCTAAAGCAGGTAGAGACTCCGTGTAAGAGTGCACACAGAAAAACAATACATTACCATTAACATTAGTCAGGAGTAGGATGGGGTCCTAGGAGATGCTTGGTGGTTAAAAACGCTTGCCACCAAGCCTGATGACCTATACTCAATGTACAGGATCCACAGATCTTCGTACGTAGGCTGTAGTGTGCATGGTGAGTGCACCTGCACACGCCCCCACACATGTGCCCACACACAGAAATTAAAATGCAGGACACTGACAAACATTGATAAAGTGGGAAAGCAAGTCAAATGCACCCACTAAGTTACTAGTAACAGCAGGACTTCTCAGTAACTAAAACCACAGTTAACAAAGAAAGGCTTTAAGTGCTCCGGATTGGAACACCACCACAACAGCTCCTGAATAGGCACGGCTTGGCGCCCAAGGGGCATCTGGGGGGGGGGGGGGGACGACACACTACTACAGCGACATGGAGAAGCCAGGGACACTGCTAAGCATACTATAACACAAATAGATTTGCCATAACAGAATTAGCTTCCTAAATGCTAATAGCATCACAGATAAGGATTGTCAGAACAAGCCAATTCTACATATGCCAAAAGAGAATCATTATCCATTAACTATAAACTACACTTTTAATTTGTATTTAGGGAAGTATGAATGTTTGAAGTAGTAAAAAATGATCTATGGAACTAATGGTTACTTTTTGTTTTGGTTTAGATTTTGGTTTTTCCAGAAAGGGTTTCTCTGTGTAATAGTCCTAGCTGTCCTGGAACTAGCTCTTGTAGACCAGGCTGGCCTTGAACTCATGGAGATTTGCCTGCCTCTGCCTCCCAAGTGCTGGGATTAAAGGCAAAGGTGTTCATCATAATTGCCCAGCTAATGATTTCTTTTTAAAATGTACATAGCATCATTCAGGTTTCATTGTTACTTATTCTGATGGAATTACCACTTTTAGTTTTCTTAATGATCTTTGCTATATATCTTCATAAATTACATTAAATACCCATTTAAAGAAAATTTGCATGAATGTGCACATTTGTGTGCTCGACTGTGGAAGACACAGTAGACATCAGGTGACTGACTACTGCTCACATTTTATTTTGAGACATGTCTGAATCTAAAGTTCACCAATTTGTCAAGGCTGGCTGGCTAATGAGCTTTTTAAGGATTCACCTCTCTCTCAGCCCTTGGTCCCAGCACTGGGGCTGCAGACACAGGCCATTATTCCCGGCTTTTACATGATTCTGGAGATCCAAACTCAGGTCCTCATGTTTGCTCAATGGGTATTTCAAAGTCTACTGAGCCAAGTCTCCAGTTCCTAGATTTCTTTAATGCATCAAATCTACCAATTTTAATAGAACAAAAATCTATAATTTACTTGTTAACATAGTACATATATGCTTTTACTATTTATTTTTTCTAATAACAAAATATGAGTTCATTCATGAAGGGTTTTTTTTAAAGATTTATTTATTTATTTATTATGTATACAACATTCTGCCTCCACGTATGCCCGCACGACAGAGGAGGGCGCCAGATCTCATTATAGATGGTTGTGAGCCACCATGTGGTTGCTGGGAATAGAATTCAAGAACTCTGGAAGAGCAGCCTGTGCTCTTAACCACTGAGCCATCTCTCCAGCCCCCATTGATGGAGTTTTGCAGAGTTTAATTTAAATTACCTTCTTAGCAGCATCTCTCTCTTTGCAGGCTAGTTGAACTTTCTTTTCTGCTTCTGCAATTCTTTGGGTAAATTCATCTTTCAGGGAGGAAATGCTACTACTTTCTTCTTTTACTCTGAACATTTCACTAGATTCAAAATACAAGAGAAAGAAGATACTGTTTATATACTCCAGAAGTAATGAGGTCCATTCCCAAAATGCAGATGCCATTTTCTCCAATATAGACTATATTAAAATAGAACTGTGTGGTGTCTAGTAACTTTTCTTCTGTTTTGTTTTTAAGACAAGGTCCTACAATAAAGTACAAGTGGCCTCTCTAATTCATTCCCTGCTTCTGCTTCTCTGCTATGATTACAGATGTGTGCCATCAGGCCTAGCAGCCAATTATTTTTTCAAAGAAAAACTACTTGCTAAATTTACTCCAAATATTTATTGGTGTTGCTCAGGATTGAACCCAGGGCTGCGCATGCTAGGAAAATGCTCTACCACAGACCTGTATCCTCAGCCCTATAAATTTTAAGAAACCACAAACAAAATCCACTGGTGAAAATGTCACCAATATTAGATGTACAAAACTAAAACGAAAGCAAAGGTGTATTTTAAATCTCTAATACTAAAAGAAGAATTAGGAGAAATATATATATATATATATATATATATGGAACATTTTTTAATGCCAAAGGTAATATGGTAAAGATAATTTGAGAAAAAAACTTTAAATATGGTAATATTAGAAACACTATGCAATTTTCAGTGACTATAAACAAGTTCAACTGCTAAACATTTTGTATTCATTTAATGAGTGCTTGCATGCATTTATGTACATATACCACATATGAGCCTGCTACCCTTGTAGTTATGAGGATGCTGGGAACCAAACACAGGTCCTCTGCAAAGCAGCAAGTGTTCTTAACTACTAAGCCGTGTCTCCAGCCCCAAAGTGTAAAACACGTTAATTTCAAAACATCAAAGTACATTGGCCTGAACATGCAGTGTGAAATAACTCACAGACTTTGAATACTTACTCCTTCAGGTTATCATAAGCTTCCTCTAGAAGTGCTTTTTCTTTACTAAGAGATAATAATTGGGCCTCCCTCTTCTCTAGTTTCTCATTCAGAAATTCAAGAGTCTGGATAAAGAGAACAAACACAAGCCAATCATTTGACTTTGAAAAGTCCGTTTGTTATGCAGGTAAAGAACAGTAAGAGTAAGCCATTCACAAATTAAAAACCAAAGCTGAGGTCACAGTAGACACAGAACAATTCTAGCTAACTCTTACGAGAGCACAAAGCAGGGAGCACAGAACTGGTGGAAGCGCACACAAAACAATCAGGCAGTGCCAGCTGACCAGCTACTCATCTGAGGATGCAGCAGAGTCCACTTCTAGGTATGCCTTAGAGGAAGCACGTGGTGAACATACTAAGTAAAATAACCACACGAACATTTAAGGCAGTTTGTTTCTAACAGAAAAATCTGGGATAATTTATTTGTATTGCCACTAAGGAAGGAAAATAGGTAAAACTGAACAAACAAACAAAAAAAGTCAAATGTCTGGTAATGTTTCAGATCTTCGTTTAGTGGTAGTGAGATAGCCTTCGGTATTCTTATTCTTTTTTTTTTTTAATCACTGCTTGGCCCATTAGCTCTCTTATTATTCTTTAACCCAAACATGTAACTTTTTTATTATTATCCACTGTACTTAAAAATAAAAATACTTTTACAAACCCATAAGCATATAATTTGAATTTTCTGGGACGCATCAATACAAAGATGACAGAAGCAATTCTCTGATCTCATTCCTTAGGTCTTGCTAAAGCAGTAATAAAGTTAGCTGTCAAGAGAGAAACGGTGCCTCTCTAGCTTCAAAAAAGCCCCGTCTGAGGCAGGACAGGCTAAACATCACTTACCTTCATAAAGGCACTGAAAACATCAACAGTAACTAGTGCTGGCTTTCAGGGATTCAGATATCAGCATATACTCCAAGGTTGCTACCACTCATCCAGAAGGATAGCATGACGTTGTGTTCCTGAATAACATTAAACCCAGGAAACAGAACCTGCTGCTTTCAGAAGGTGGTAAGGCAAACTGAGTCCTCGCAGTATATTTCTCCACATATGTTACATGTACATTTCAGAAGCCTATTAAGACGCCAGCTCCTGTTTAATTTGTAAGGATCAGGAAAACCAAAGCTCTGATTTAAAATTAAAGAACCGACACCATTTTCTCTTGTATGTATTAGGGATTTGCATGTATGTAGTCATTTGTCAGTCTTAAGTTTTACTTTTGGTCCCCAGGTATTTCCTTTCCTCATTCATGTAGGATAGCTATTAATAGCAGATATCAAAACTAACATAAGGAGAAACCAAGCCAAAACACTGTAAGAAGCAGATTAGTTATATCAATGAAAACATCAACATTAGAATACTAATCACAGAAAAGCATCAACAGTATATTCATATAAAGTATTCATTTAGACAAAATCTAAAATTCCCCATAAATAGTATATACACATAAAACATTCTGATATAAGAAAAAAATAGTAACATTCGGCTTGATTTAACAAGACACCTGTGACATAAACAGTCCTTTGCAAACTGACATGAGGATATATACAGCATAGAAGAATTTTAAAGGGATAAGGATTCAACAATAAAGATGCAAAATGGAAATGTGAAGCTTTTTCAGATCTACTTATTCTATCATAGCTGCCTTGCAGACATTTCAAACAATTTAACATTAAGGTCCTTACTGTTACAATTAGATGACCAGATATCTACTTTTTCAAAGCATCACACATCCATGAAAGTGTTTTCATCACCGACACAGCCCAACCCAAACACTACAGTTACCTTGCAAACATCTTCTTTCTCGGGCAGTGCCTCCGGCTGACTCCCAGCAGCTTCGCACTGATCAGTGGCCGGTCCAGAGACAAGATCTCCTTCACTTCCCGGCACGGGGGAAGCCAGCGTATCTGGCTGCTCACAGTTAACAGGGGTAGCACTTCGGCCACTTTCCTCTAACTCTGCTTCCTCAGAAGGTGCGATTAACGTTTCGTTTCCTTCCTCTTCTTCAGCTTTTTCTTCAGTGGGTTCTACTACTCTAGTCTTTGGGGTTGAAGGATTCACTACTATAGGCGCTAAAGCATAGCCCTTGCCTGGCAGTTCATCATCTGAGTTGATCTCGCTTACGCTCCGGCTATCTAGAGACTGCACACTAAACGAGTCTATCCTTTCAAAAGCATCCGACGAGCAGCAGCTCTCATTGAGCTTTTGGAATTCATCTAAGCGGCTATACTCGGGACAAGCAGATGCAGAGAGCAGCTGAAATGACGTCTGCATGAGATGAAGACTTGATTTTGCATCTGAAGTCTCTTGCCTTGAACTAGCTGAGCTCTCGCTTATTACGCTCTCATGATCTAAAACCTCAATATCACTGGTGGTAGAAGTGCCCGATGAGAAGGAGCTAACAGGAGGAGAAGGTGTATTGCTCTGTCTGTCTTCGTGTTTTTGTTCCTTAGGTTCCAAAGTCACATCCTTAGTTTCTGCTGTGAGAGACTGGGTGGAGGTGGTGGATACATCTTCTGTTGTTGTGTTTACGTTAACTACACCTTCAGACGCTTTCAACCGCACAGCAGGCACCTTCACCTCAGACTCTTCACAAGCAGTTTCTCCATGTTTGCCTTCAGGTACAGGTGATGGAGTAGCCACAGCCGGGGTTTCTCCTGAGATACACACAGTCTCTCGCACTTCTGACTTAGCTGTTTCAGGAGTTCTGGACGGGCCAGGGGACGAGGATTCTTGTAAACTACCTTTCACTTCTTCTTTTGGCCGCTGTGATTTAGCTGGAGGTTTTGATACCACCGGACTCTTCTGAATGGTCTGGACATCTGATGGTGAAAGAAAGGCACTGAAGAAATTTTCAGACTCATCGACGACAGTCCTTCGAACTGGCTTTGTAATTGCTTTAGGAGAGGCTGTTGGTGGACTCTGAGGTTCAGTGCTTGAGTTCAATCCCCAGGTTGATGTATCCCATCCTCCACTCACTGGGAGACTTATTCCTTTGACAAAAATAAATTAATTCAATAAATAAAACTTATCTAGCATTAATATTTCAATCATTATCAGATTGTATGTGAGAGACAAAAAAAAACTATAAAATACACCCTGTACCTTGAAGCGGCCGAACTCTTGGCTTATAGCATCACTGATTAGTTTCCGGGTTAACTTTGGCCTAACAGAATAAAACCAGTGTGGGCTGACTTGAGAGGGTCTATGAACAAGTACAAGACCATGCCTGCCTTTGCCCACCCAAAGCAAGTATGTTATTTCCCTCCCAGCATGCTTAAAGTTATGACATGGGTTTTATAACCTGTCCCAGATATGTGATTGATCTCACAAAAACAGTTCAAAACTTCACTAACAGGCCACATGTAGTCACAGCACTATTTAGCCACACAATCATTTTATTCTTGTAACATTAAATAATAAAACTTAATTATAAGCTAAACAGACAACACTCAAAACTGAACCTGAGATAGTGATGTTCCTTCTTGAAAATCATAATTAAACTGATGTGAAAAGTAAGTTCTAGAGAATAAACCCACTTTAATGTATTGTCTGAGGTTTTCTGTCCCACTGGATCCTGCAGCCATTAAGTCCTAGTTACAGAGGTTTCTGTTCCAACAGGTCCCATAGCGGTGTCCCAAATAAATCACACAGAGGTCTACATTAGTTATAAACTGATTGGCCCATTAGCTCAGGCTTCTCATTAACTAATTTGTATAACTTACATTAGCCCAAAATTCTTGTGGCTTGGTACCTTTTTCAGCGAGGCTGTCACACCTTGCTTCCTCTATGGCTGGGTCAGGACTGCAGACTCAGAATTCCGTCTTCCCAGAATTCTTATTGCCCCGCCTCTACTTCCTGCCTGGTCACCCTGCCTCTACTTCCTGCCTGGCTACTGGCCAATCAGCGTTTTATTAAAAAACACAAGTAACAGGATAAAAGATCATTGTCCTACTGCATTTATGTATTTAATGACTGACTAGTCAGCAAGTTCCTCTCTTTTCAAACCTGAAGTATTTCTTTATATATTTTGTCATAAATCAAAAAGTAGAGCAGCAAAATCACCAAAATTACGTGCAATTAGAGGTTGCTGGGGAGGGCACACATTAGCTGGGGATTTCCTAAAGAAGCCCCTTAACAAAGTCTGTCCTTTAATAAGGCTCCAAAACTACCTCAAATGAAGTGCTGAGGAAACTCTGAGCTGAGGGCAGATTTTTACAGTCATTTGTTCAATGTGTGAGAAAGAAAAAACAAAGCTTAAAGCAAAATTAGGTGTGCTATTTAGCTGAGGTCTGCCACTTAGATTAGGGCTACTAGCTAGCTAATTATCATCCTCGTGGATTCTAGGATTTCAATTAGTCTCTTGCAGACCGTGATAGGAAACTGCAATTATCTCACATCCACCTAAACTCTCCCATTCTTCAGACCAAAGTCATTCTGTAATCCAAAACACAACCGGTGATCAATGAAAATAGCATCTATGTAAACTTGACTCCATTCCAGATAACCTGCCCTTAGAAATAAGTTATACAGCTCTATTCATGTCTCAGATTTCGGGGGGGGGGGGAGTATATTTGAAACTTATTTGATCTTCAGTTTAGTAACTCAGACTATGGGGTACAACCACAAAAAGCAAGGTTCGCTAAGCAACAGCAAGATCATCTCACACACAGAAAAGAAGATCATGACATACCTTCACACACACATAAACTGAGATATCAATGGTTCAAACTTGGGCTCTGAGCCTTTAACAAAGTACAGCTAGAACCAGAAACCAGAAGGCGATCAAGTACTCTTTTTATCCAATGATTGGTACTCATGTGTCCCTTGCTACACACGTGAAACTGCTCAAGTACCCCCTCAGACTTGGACACAAGTAACTGGGCCCTCAAAAGAGCAATTTCAGCCATTTCAGCCAATCTGAAAGACGTGTTCTGCAGAAAAGGTGTTACACTTGGGCACTCTTGGAGCAAGTACACAGTCCCCTAGTACTATCCCCAGTACATTCTGTTCCTCACCTGAAGCAAGCTATTTATGCATTCTGAGTTTCGTTTAGCTCTTCTGTAGAACACGGATACTACCAGCCCTGACTTGGGTTGTTTTGAAGACGAGGAAGTGTTTTTGTAAAGTCTGTGCCTCAAAGCGTGAAGTGTTCATTAAGTGCCACCCGCGGGGCTCCCTGACTTCGGGAATTTACAGTTTGGACCTAGGACTAAAACTGCGGAAGACGCGGAGCAATTAGGGGAGAGGAGGCTGTGCTCAGGACACTGCAGGAAGGGCCTGGGACAGGGACAGGCTGTGAGCTGACACCTGAGATCAGCAGGACCCGCAGCGGGGCCGAGGCAGGCGGGCTGGGGTCTGATGGCGAGCAGGCACGACTCCCTGGTACCCGCTTACCCGGCTCGCCGTACGGGATGGGCTCGGCCCAGGCGCTCGGCTCCTCCTCCTGGATGTCCAGGACCCTGTCGATGGACTTCTGGGCCTGAGACAGGGCCTGCTTGGCGAAGCTGGACAACTGCGAGGCGTTGAACCAGCTCATGGCCCCTCCTGAGCGCCGGCTGAGCCGGCTCCGGCGGCCTCAGCGGTGGCCAGGGCCCACCGCCTCCCGCGGCCGCTCGCAGCCTCCTGCACAGCTGAGCCCGGCGCTGGCGCGCATGCGCCGCCCTTCACGTACACAACCCCCAGATCCGGGAGCCGAGTTCCGCCCAGGACAGAGGCGGTGGCGTGACGCCACATCCGGGAGTGGAAGTGGCCGGGAACACCTTAGCGACGGTTTCTGAGGGCCGACTATCCAGGTTTGTGCTCGCTCTCTGTGCACTGAAGGCGGTCTGCGTCTGGAATTCCCGGGGCGAGCCGAGCCGCACGTGCCTCTCAGTAAACACAGCGGTTAGGCCTCACATTTCTCTTGGCACTCGAAAAATACTTTATGCCCGACTTTATGGGCACTGTCTCCAAATCCTGAACATTTACGAACTGGACAACCTTCCTCGAAACTGAGTTCTGTAATCTGACTGACGTTCATCAGCACACTCCTCTGTCAATGGGTGTGTCTTTTACGAACTTCCCGAGTCAGGAGGTGACGCCAGAAAGAATGCCTAATTAAAGGTCTCAGAGTATCTTTGCCCTCTAAGCACGACGTACCAAGGCCATGCCAGTCATGAACCAGAAGTAGGTGCGTGCCCTCATCAGGACAAGAGCTGTGTTGATCTTGGACCTCCCACTCTTTGGAACTGTAAACACCCAAGTTTCTGTTGTCTGTGAACCAGTCACTTTATGGCGATTTGTAATAGCGGTTTGGTGTGGCTAAGACACTTGGGAAGCAATAAATTATAACCCATCAGTATATATTGTGCACACTGCTAAAAAAAAGATATAGTCTGAATGCACTTTTCCCACACTTGGTCATGAAAGGAAATTTAAAGTCGATGGCCTTCCTTGTCCAGTAAGCAGTTGTTTGGTCTGATAGTGCTAAAGAAAAAAATTCTACCAGCATTTACAAGCTAAATTTCATACAGACATCCAGAGTTTCAGCCCCTTGTGAAAATCTTACACAAAGAACTAGAGATAAGTGAGAAAGGCGATGGTAGGAACGGGAGAAACAAGTCTTCCCCAGGAAGAGCACGCCAGTGGTTATCTAATACCAGATGGTCAGCCCAGAAAACATATACAAGCAACATTATACAGAGTCATCAGGCTGAATTTATGTATCTAAAAATGCATATGTATACACAAACATATGTATGCAACAAATAATGAGAAAAGGGGACAGTAATTTGAAAGAGTAAGGAAGGGTATATAAGTGAGTTTGGGGAAGGAAAGGGAAGGGAGAACTGATGTAATTATAATTCTCCAAAACATTCCCTAGACTATCGCAACAACCACCAATGGAGCGGCTTAACATTGCACAAACATTTCCCTGGTTTGGAGCCTGAAGTCTGAAATGGTTCAACAGGGCTGACTTCACGCCCTCTGAAAGCTTCAGGTAGAATGCATCCTGCTTTGATGAGTGACTCTCCCAGAGTCACATCTCTGCAGGCACCCCTTTTCCTTGGTTGTAGATACTTCACTTGGCCTCTCTCATCTCACAAGGGGGGCAGTGGCAGGAGCGACACAGTTCAAAGCCTATTTAGATTACACAATGAAACCTTATCTTACCAAAACAAAAAAACAAAACAAAAAAAAAGACTTGCTGGGGGATACAGTTTAGCGATGGAACATTGGCCTAGCAATGTACACGGCCCTAATTCTGATCCCAGAAACAACCACAAAGAAAAACTGTGTTGACTCTGTAACGTTTTGGATAAAACATATAAATTGTACCATGTGGTTTATTTATTTGGTTTTTTGGGACAGGGTTTCTCTGTGTAATAGCTCTGACTGTCCTGGAACTATCTTTGTGGACCAGGTCTGCCTCTGTCTCCCAAGTGCTGGTAAAAGGCCTGAGCCACTATTGTCCAATGATCCTACTTTTATTTTTAAGCATATAATGCTTTTTAAAAAACATTTTATTATTTATTTTATGTTCACATTTGTTTGTGTGAGGGTGTCAGATCCCCTAGAACTGGAGTTACAGATGTTGTGAGCTGCCATATGGGTAGTGGGAATTGAACCTGGGTCCTCTGGAAGAGCATCCAGTGCTCTTAACTACTGAGAGCCATCTCTCTAGTTCTCCATATGGTTTTATAATGAAACTAGATTTGTCAACATGGAGCTAGAAAGAACAATAAATGGGGTATGGCTCAGTGATGGAGCACTTGACAAACATGTGGGAGGTGTTATAGTTTAGAAAAAAGCAAGAGAGAAAGACGCTATGCAACAGAGTTCATGTGGAGGGATTTTTATTAAGGAAAAGGGAATGTAAAAAGAGGGAAGGGAAAGGAGAGACCAGCCTCTGGGGACAGGATCAGCAAAAAAGAAGACAGGCACAGAGAGAGAAGAGGAAGGGAGGGGAGGGGGGAAGAGGAGGAGAAGCAGAAGAGGGAGAGGAAGAGAGAGAAGGGGGAAAGAGAGTCAGGGCCCTTTAAAAAGGGAACACAGTTACACACAGTGACCCTGCAACAGGAGGTGCTCTAGTGACTACAGCTGAGGTCATAGCCTATCAGAATCCCAGGGGCAGGCCAGAACAGATGCCTGAATACTAACAGGAGGTCCTAGGTTCTATCCCTGCATCATACCCACACCAGAAAGACAGACTGACTTTATCCACTAACATTCCACAAATCTTACAAATAAAAAAGTACAATGAAACAATTAAACAAATACCGTAAACTAAATAAAAAACAAAGAATGAAAAAACAGGTACTATTTGTTCCCACATTAAAATATTACAACAGCAGGTTTTTGGGGTTTTTTTTTTAGTATTTGCATTCCACTTTGATTTTAGTATTTTTAAAAAAAAACAGGCATTTATTATAAAAATTTAGCCATCCCATTTATCAGCAAAATTTTAACTTAGGTGCAACAAAAATTTGGTAATAACTTAAATATTTAAAAATTATTCAACACCACTATGGAACTATTTATTATTAATATACTTTAAAATTCCAATAAAAAAGTAGACAATGTATGGTTTTATTAATAAATAGTGCAAAAGCATCAGTGATAACTGTTTAAACATTAATTTTCTTTGAACAGCCATTGTCTTGGTTTAAGTTTGTGCATAGTGGTCTCTATGGCATTGCAAATAAACACATGAAAATACTTCATATTTTCATGCACAGGTATTATTAGTCTGTAATACTGTTTACAAATTATTATGGATAAGTTAAACTCTACAATAATACACATTTGGATAGCCACAATTATATGAGTAGTAATGAAGAAACAGCCTATGTCTGATATACGTAGATGTCAGGTTGTAATATTTAATGTTCCTATAACATAATTCCTCATTTCCATTCAAGGATACATTTCTATGCATGTGGACACTCAAATGAAAGCTGAGGAATACGTTCTTTGACCATAATAACAAACTCACACAAAAGACAGTGTTTGTCCTGCTTTAAGGAGCAATACATTTGTTCATAATCTTTCTCTCCAAGCATCGTTTTCCGTATGACTAATGAGAATGCTTACTAGCCCAACCCCAAAGTTCAGTCTTCCAGAGAAACTTAGAAAGTTAAAAAAGAGTCACTCATTTTATATATATATATATAAAAGTCAAATTCTAGCAACACTAATGCTAAAAATGACATCAATTAAATTTCCTTTCTTGGATGTCCCCTCGGCCTCACCTTCCCCACTCTTCAATTATATTTCTTAGCATTCATAAAGTATATTATTTCTATGAATTTTCTATTGTTTATAGATTTATTTTCCTTAAGTAAAATGAAGTTTGAATAGTACAGTCTGTGGTGTGGTAACATCAGCAACAGCCAGTTCTTGTCCATCAACGAGTCCCAATTCTAAAATAGGAAAGAGTGTCATTAGCACAAACAAAAATAAATAAGTACCTCAACAAAAAGAATATACTCATACACACACATTATAATAGTTGTATAGTTCAGATATGTTTCAAAATCCAATTCTTTTTTAAAGAGATAAAATTTTATTTCTTGGAGTTTTATATTTTTTTCTATTAAAATAAAGAACCATAAATTCTATTACTTTTATAGTATAAGTAATAATGACTTGGTCATATTTAATTAAGTGCAAATATAATTTCAAAGCCAATTTTGGGCTACAAACAAGTTCAACACCAACTAAAGCAAAAGCAAGGCATCCTATCTCCAAACACCAAAGGCTTATGAGACAGCAATAATGAGACACCTTCCTAGAAAGTCAAGTGTTACTGATTGTGAACCCTGGTACTGGGGAGAGACAGACATACATGGGGAGAGAGGGAGGAAGGGAGAGAAGGGGAGAGAGAAAGAGAGAGAACGAGAGAGCAAGAGCACGCGCAGACATTTACTACTACTAAAAAATACTAAAAAAGGAAACTATTAATATATACAATTGCTTAAAATACCTTTTAACGTCTTGGAAAGATTGGGCCTTGTTCGTTCTTCAATAGATGTTACTGACTGGAAAACAATATTTTAATGTATAGCACATTAAGAAAAAAATACAATTCCCTTGAAAAATGTAAAACTGAAGACTACTGACCTGTAAGTAAAGTGTCCTGTTCTTCCCCTCTAATGTGGCTGTGATAGCTGGGGACTTCATTTGCCTACATAAAGTAGCACACATTTTATTGAAAGAGATAATTCTTGCTCATTTTAAAGTTTAAATGATTTTTACAATAACAAAAACTCTGAACACTTACAGAGAAGCACTATTGGTCAGATAGTCTAAAACCTCTTGTAGTTTAGCTGACGGGGAAAACTGAATGTTCTGCGGAAGCTGGCTACATGCGGGACAATTTTCCTGCAGACATAAAAGAATAGAGGGACACAAACTAATGTCAGTCTTTTTCTAAGAAAAGATATAGAAATCAAATTGTTTAACAATCATGCATATTGGATTATTTTCTGCTTTAAAGTCTGTTTTTGTAATATAGAATTCCCTCTAAATTATTTTGCTTTACATTATTTATTTAAGCTAACCAACAAAAAATACATATGATTAGCGTTAGTAGCTCAGAACATGAATATTTACCTTCACATTCCTAGCTAATAATATATAAAAGCAAGGGCTGAACAATGAAAACATTTCCATTAGTTTAACACTACTAACCTTCCTCTCTGCTTCAAATGTGTATGTGTACAGTCCATCTACATCATTGAACACCAAGTAATTATTAAGGGGAACATATGCACTGTAATGAAAAAATGTTGATGTTTATCTAACTGAGCAAGGTTTTAACATGGAGCTATATTCAAGTTAAAAATAAAACTCATTACCTTGTGGCTATCTTAAAAACCTCAGTGGCACACACAGCTAGAGAGAAAATAAAGGCATTTTAACTCGGCAAAAATTAAATACTTTGAAAGTGAGTGATAAATCAAATAAATTTCTATAGAAAAAATAGATGTTAAAATACATAATTTTAAAAACACAGGAAAGAACAAGTTTTATATTTATTTTACATAATCCAGCAATACACCTTTTCGTTCGTCTTCCTTAGATGAATGAAAATCTAGGCCTATGAGTAAAAAGACACGCTAAGATGTCCCTTTACTGTGATAATGATACAAGATATACAGAGGATATAGTAACATATTTGGTTTGGGTAACCAAGAAGATATCAGATTCCTAGAACACAAGTAACTACTAAAATGTCAATTTAGATATTAAGTCAAATATCAAAGCAAAAAGTAAAACTGAGAAAATCTTTTTTGCTTTACCTGCGATGACTGCATTTGTAGAAGCTACTGCAGGAATAATTCGTTTTACTACCCCTGAAAAAATTCACGAAATAAAAAAATGGTCATTTCTTTTCTTTTCTTTCAAGATTTATTTTCAATTATGTGTGGGGGCATGAGTACGTGTGTCTGCACGTATGTACACACATACATGCATATGCAGGTATGTTAACATGTGAGTGTAGGGTCCTTAGAGTCCAAAAGAGTCTATTTGATCCCCAGAAGTTAGAGTTAGAAGCAGTTGTGGATAATAAGAATTCTTGACAGCTAAGTCATCTTTCCAGCTCTGTTTAAATAAACAGTCACCTTAAGTTAAAGTAATAGAATTAAATCATTTAAAGCCTGATTGTTAAATCCCATTTTCTGAAACTTGATTTTTCAGGCTTTCAAATCAAGAAATGAAATTGGGCACAGCCAGTCTCAGTGACATGTGCCTATTCCCAGCACTTGGGAAGCTGGAGCAGAAGAACCATGAGTCTGAGGCCAGTCTGTGCTACACAGAAAAATGCTATCTCAAAACAAATGAACCCCCCTCCACAAAAAAAAAAAAAACCTAAAATCCTAAAAAGCTTAAACATGAACTATCTTCTTTCACATTCCCAGTATTCTATAGTGTGTTGGAAATATTAAGTAATAGTATTGAAATAGTCTTTGTAGTTTTACATGATGATAAAGAAGTAACACAACAGTGTTTCCTTATACTCCAGGGACAGCGTGAAAGTGTGAACAGTAAATATTATTTAATGTTGCTGACATGGTGAGGCTAGTCACACCATCCTTGTTCTAAACAGAAGGAAAGCAAGGCTGAGAAATTAAATGTCACATCCACACTATCCCTAGTATACATGTAGGAATGGGTTGGGCCCACACATGCCCATCCCACATTAGTCTTATATACTGATACACTGTACTAGAGTCTGAAAAGCCTGAATAGGTGTAAACAAAAAGTTGCCTAATTATTTTTGATATAGTTAGCTAGTTCAAGTCATTCTATTCACAAAATACCACAATTAAAAAAAACAACTTTTAAAAAGTATCTTTTACACTACAGTCCCAACCACACAAAATCCGACACACAGTTCTCATTCTGACTATGATTTGCACTGCCATGGTCATCTAAGTAATGAACAAACTGTCTCCTATAGTACAAAGAAAGACTGTCTTCTAACTGCACTTGAATTGCTTGCTCTAGAAGAAACCACATGATCCAGGAGGGTGAAGAAGCACTGCAAGATGTGTCCCTAGCGCTTCGGCAGGAGCACAAGGCAGGCTGGTGGAGGGAAAGGTGAGAAAACAGGCAGTAGGCATGAACTGAACTTTCAAGTGACAATAGTAGAATATGAGTAAATAAAAGGAAATAATCACAGAAGAGAAATGACAAACTTGCAAAGAAAACACAAAGCACTTTCTAGAGAATTTAGTAAAACTCCAGAAGGGATGAACTAAAATGGGACTGGAACACTAGCCACCAAGGCTGAGCAGGATGACTGCTCATTGTGAGTCCACGTTAGAGGAGACACTTTCAGGGACTGTAACTGATTCCGCACTCAGGACAGAACACCCAGGCTTCTGTAGAGCATCTGGAAAAATCTTTCATGGCTTCCTTGTAAAGGACCCAAGAAGACTTGATAACTGATGAGACAAATCTAAAAGGCTGCTAAGGCCCTAGGCAATCTCCAGAACCAATATACAAATTCAATAAACAATCCTAGAATTCTAGAATTCTGTGAGAGAGGAGGAATAAGGAGGGAGAAAAGGGGAAGAGAAGGCCTAGCAACTGCACTGGTGAAAAGATATGCAGATTTTAATGAATAGCAACATCAAAGAATGGAAATAGAACATCAATACAAACAACAAATGATAGCAACACATCGGCTTTCCTTTAGGACTGTACCCATCTTCAGAGATAAGGCTAACCCTAAAATGCTGCACTCAGGCCTAGAAGATCCAAGGATGGATAATTGGATGCTGGTCAGGGAAGAACACCAAAACTTGAATCCTGTGACACTGAGGAAACAGGAAGACTTGCAAGTGGTAAAAATTACAAATGTGGAGAAAATGCAATTGCTGTGCTCAACAGTTAGAAACTACGAGTAGAAGAGGACATTAGGGACTGGAGAGATGGCTCATAGTTAAGAGCACTTACTGCTCTTCCAGAAGACCCCAATTCAGTTCTCAGTACCCACATGAAGCCCACATTTTTCTGTAACTTCATCCAGGGGATCCAATGTCGTCTTCTGTCCTCTGTGGGCACCAAGCATGCACAAAATGCATGTACATACAAGTAGGCAAAACACTCTTAACATAAAAATTTAAAAATAAAATAAAAAGCAACTAGATTGTGTAAAATACTGGACAAAACTCAAACCAAACAAGACATAGATTCCTGCTTAAAATATAGTCTCTACAAGAGCTAGTTCCGGGATGGGCACCAAAACTACAGAGAAACCCTGTCTCGAAAAACCAAAAAAAAAAAAAATATATATATATATATATATATATATATATATAGAGAGAGAGAGAGAGAGAGAGAGAGAGAGAGAGAGAGAGTCTTTTTACTGCTCCCAGAAGGGAATGATTTCCCCTTTAGTGAAAGATGAAGTAAACAGACTTTGAAGACAGGTCTCTTCCAATTGTGTATAAGTACCAGTCGGTGATACCATTCAGTCCCCACTAGTTGAGAAGTACCCATTCTGCTAAACTCAGTTCCCTCCTACCTCAGGTAACTGGGAAACTATCACTTCCATAGTTCCTTAATGAACTTCAAATGGATGGCAATCTCTAAATACTCTCTAGTCAAGCATCCTCCCCACAGAGCATCCCCACCAATCCCACAATCACAACGGTTCATTAACTCACCTTGAGTGAGTCTATAGGTAACACCTCTAATATTATACTGTAATGCTCTCTCTACAGACTTTTGGAAAATCCACTGAATATGTTCAGGGTCATCTCCATCTAATGGAACCCCATCTGTTTTGGGGAAGACAGACATATATAACCATAAGGCAATTTTTATATGAATGTCAAAATGAATAATATATTACTTTCTAAAGTCTAGACTGTTAAAGTACCTCCAAAAGGCTGCTCTTTAGGCCACTGCAACATCCTTACATACTCAATACAGTGTTCTGGTAGCCTGGGCATAGATGCAATGGTGCACATGGGGAAATTGACCTAAAAAACAATTTGTCTTTCTTAGTAAAATTTAAATAATGAGTTATTTTAAAATGCAATGTCCAGGTCTGCTTTAGTTCATAACATTTATTTCAACTCTTATATAACAAAACACTATAAAACGTTCAAACTGCTATACTAATAAGAGGGAATCAGCATCTTTACGTTGAGCTGCCTATAAAGAGACACATTCATTCTACATTTTTGGAGCATATTCACCCAAGTTCTTTTGGCAATGAGAAGAAAAATATTAAATAAATTCTGAAATGTGAATGATTTTGTTTTACCTGTGTTTAATGTGAAGGTATAATACATATCAACACAAAAGCACAATCAGAATTAAATCAATTATAAGTTAATACTCATAGGGCTGCTACCATTTATAAATCAAAATTGTAACTATTTTTTAAAATGAATATGTAGATTAAAGAAACCATCTTTGAAAAGATCGCTCTTAATCCTATTTTTCAATTTTCATTACATTTATTTTGCATGTATGTGTGTAGGAGCACATGCTGCAATATATATGTGAAGGTCAGAAGGAAACTTACGACTCTCCCCTTCCACCATGAACTCAGTACCTTCATCTGCTGGGCCATCTCACCAGTCCTTTTCCTAGTACTTTTGTTCTCTAAAATAATTACAGTAGACCTTCCTTATTCAAGAAAGGTATGTCCTAGGACCCCAACAAATGTCTGAACCCTATGGACACACACTGTATCTTAAGATAAAGTTCAGCATATAAATTAGGAACAATAAGAGATTAAAATAACATTAATAAAAAAGGATTCAGGGACTAGGGAAAGAATGTTAACCCCTCTTGCAGAGGAGCACCCACATCAGGTGACTCACAACTCCAGGAGACCTAATGCTTCCTGTTTCTTAATGCACCTGCACCCATGTGTACACATGTATTCACCGAAATAAGCAATTAAAATTAAATCTAAAAGTATATTGTGACAGTACAAGATGATTCAAAATTTCACATTACCCAGAAATGGATGCAACTTAAAAAGTTGGGGGAGGGCAATTTTAATCTAATAAATCATTTATTTCTGGAATTTTATTTTGATATTTGCAGCCTACAGGCAGCTAGAACCATGGACAATAAAACTACAGATTAAGTGCAGGTATACAGGGAAAAAAAACAGAATATAATTTATCCCGAATAACTTTGTAATTTCTCTTAAATAAAACATTAAGGGACTAGAAGGACAGTTAAGAGTGTATAGTCCTCTTTCTGAAGACCTGGGTTTGGTTCCCAGTGCCCACATTAGGCAGCTCATACCAACCTACCAGCTACAGAGGGATCTGTCACCTTTCACTTTCAGGGACATTGCATTCACATACCTACATACTCACACATATACATACACATAATCAAAACAAAATAAAAAAAAACCCTGCCAAAAATGAAACCATAAAAAGAAGACCATCTTGATATATAGTGTCTTCTCTCACAGTAGACTGTCATACTTTATTCTTCTTAGTAAATTTTGTTTAGATTTTGATTTTGTTTTGATGCTGACATGCACAAGTTTAAGCCCATGCCCTCATTATGGCAAATACTAACCTATACCTGTTGGCCTTAGCATATCTTTAAATATATGTTTATCCACAATACAAACACCAGACACTGACTAAATGTAATAACCAGCACTAATTACAGCCCCAGATACTAAGAAAGAAATGCAGGAGTTTTTCTGCTGACCTGCGGTGGATAAAGTTCCAGGGTGCACTCAACACAAGCAGTCATTCCAGGTAAAATCACCCGGGCATTTCCTTTAAAGCCTTCGGTCCCTCCATCTATCAAAGGGACAATGGAGCTTGGATCCAACACACCATCTTCGTAATTTAGAAGAGATATCTAGGAAAAGGTTTTAAAGGGTTTAAAGAAGGGTACAGGGAATGGGGGTAAAAGCAGCAGCATGCTTCCAACAAATTCTAGGAATCAGTTTGGGACTCAGCAACATATCAGAATGAAGAAATTATTCCTAACGATAAATATTTCTCACTGAAAACCAATGACAGGAAATAACAGTGGTATTTATCTACTTAATTTAAAATTAAACAAATTCTTATTTTACAAATATATGACAATTTTGCTTTGGGCTATGTCAAAAGCAACAGCAAAGATCTTTAAACAATGCCAGCACTGAAGAGTTTACCAGCATTCCATTGATCCATCTTCTGGCTATGATAGAGTCCAGGCCACAAACAATAATATGAAATTCTATGAGGAAAAAAAAATCCATGTAATTTTTGATTCAGTCTCATTATGTAGTCCTAGGCTGGTCTAACATCCTCTTCCTTCAACCTCCCTACTGCTGGCCCCACCACATCCGCTAAGTCTAGTGCTTACAAATGCACTGCTGTAATAATGGTTTGACACCAGCCCATGGACTGTATCTGATCCATCTCCAGACAACAACAGAACTCTCTGCCTTCCATCCAACTTTGCTGTGTCTCCAAAACTGCTTTGAACCCAGTTTATCAATTTAAAGAAAAGCAGTTATGCAAAGTAATTCACTATGTAAGAAAAAAACAAAACTAATTTTAATAGAATCTGCCCACCCTCCTAATCCTTCAGTAATTCTTATTCAAGTAAACAGCTAGTGATATCCACTAAGAATCAGGACAGTAGTATTTCAGTTAGCCAACAAGCTTACTCAAAACACCACAGAGAAAAACCAACTATGAAAGGACACTCCAGCAAACAGAATGGGGAAAAAAACCCAACAAACTGTAAGAATTAACAAGAATTTCATTTCAAGTGGACAACTTACGTCGGTAGAAAGTGTCATTAAAATCTTGAATCTTGTTGAAATGTCTGAATCCATGTAAAGGAACTTAAGTTGCCAAGTTTCAAATTTTGAAGTAATGTTAACAATGCCAAAAAAAAGTGTTTATCAATGTGGAATTCAAGAAATCTAATATGAATATAACCCCTACTTTCTGACAAAAATATTTTAAATTATTATCTTATGCATGTATTTGTATGCCACAGTGCACAAATTGTCTCTCCTGTTTGTCTGTCTTCTCTCTCTCTCTTTTTCTCTTTCTCTCTCTCTCTCTCTCTCTCTCTCTCTCTCTCACACACACACACACACACACAAAATATTATGGCATTTTTGTGAACTTGTTTCATTTTGCTTTACTTTGGCATTTTTTGCATTATTGGTCTTTTACTTATTTGATTTATATTTTAGTGGGGGTTAGATGAGGTCTTTTTTTTTAAGAGAGAAAAAAAGACAAAGTTGAGTGGATAGGGGTGAAAAGCACTTGGGAGAGGAGAAAAAACATGATGAAAATATATTGTAAAAAAAATTCTTTTCAATAAAAAAAAGACTATTAAAATGTCAAACTATTGGAGCCTTATATAAAAACAATACAGAGAATTCCGATAGCTTTTTTAGTTGCTAGTACTGATGGGTTTGTTGGGTTTTAAGAGGTCTGGGGGCCTTGAAGTAAAGTATGCATATTTTCCACCCCTCATAAAATTCAGCTGGAGGTCTTTTTTCACCCAATCAGCAACTACTGGACATCATCCTGTATTTGCAGGCTACTCATGAATCCTGTTCTATTAGCTCTGAGAATCAGTCAGTCATCGTACCTAACATTTTAAAAACGTAAGAACTGCACACCTTCAATCTCAGGACTTGGGAGACAGGCCAGCCTGGTGTACACAGGAAATTCTAGGACAGCCAGGGCTACACAAAAAGACCATCTCAAAAATAAAAAAAAATAAAAAAAAAAGACAAGACTGTACAAAATATGTTTGTTTAGTTTTTCTAATAAAGGAACTTCTAATACAAATGATACTGCTCTAAATAATGTCCATGTTTTTAACAGAAACACGAAAGAGGTACAGCTTCTCTGTATGGCCTTTACAGCTTCTGTAAATGTTATTCTGAAGTAAATCTGTTTAAAAATGGAAATAAAGGCTTCTTTGTAAGGAAACCGAATTACAAGGGAGGATACTTACGTTCTATGTAGCCCCACTGTTGAGACCTGGGAAATCTGTTTTATAGACATCCATCCAGGACAGACTATCTTGGGCCACATCCTGGTTTCCCAGTTGCCACTCCTCCACTGCTTCCTTTGTTTCTTTTTCAACCTAGTTTCCAGTGTGCCTTAGGTCCCTGCTTGCCCACCATTTAAATGGAATAGAGTTCTGAATGAGTGATGGTTAGAAATAAGTTGATTTTTTTTTAATGCACGCATTTCTAAGTATAAAAGTCTAGAGAAGAACTCTCTCTATTGAAAGGATACGGGACCACATTGCAGTTAGGAACTCGGTCATTTAGGAATTCTGCAGCAACTTCAGCCTTGGGTCTTCCAACATCTTTAGGCCTACAGAAAACATTACATTAAATTGTCATCCATAGCCAAGCAGTGGGGGCTCACGCCTTTAAACCCAATAATCAGGAGGCAGAGGGAGGGGAATCTCTTTGACTACAAGGTCAGCCTTGTCTACAGAGGGAGTTCCAGGACAGTCAGGGCTACACAGAGAAACCCTGTCTCAATTAAAAAAAAAAAAAATCATCTAGCTTATCATCCATAATATGAATTTAGATGGTCTACATAATTAGCTTCCAAACATAAAAATAAACAATTTATAACATACTTTTTAACATATTTTAACTACATATCTTTATTTTTTTAATTATATGTATTTCCATCTGCACGTGAGTATGTATATTTGAGTGCAGATGTCTGTGGAGGCTACAGTTGGCCCAGACTCCCTGGAGCTGGAATTATAGGCAGATGTGAATTACCTGACATTGGCGCTGAGAACTGAACCTAAGTCCTCTGCAGGGACAACATGTGCTCGTAAATGATAAGCCAACTCTCCATCAATCCCTAAGTATTTTTATACCAGCAATAAATTTATTAAACCCTTGCTGATAGTCCAAATATGACAAGTCTAATTGTATTTCCTAACTGAAAATATAAACTATTGAAGAGTAGGGTCCGACCCCCCAGGCAAAGTATAACAGTGTGTTTAGTGGCCACTTTCAACCATGACAATTCCTAATATAAAAATATACTAGACCCAGATCCTTCCAAGTATACTGCCTGAATCCCAGAATCTCGATGGTTTGGTTTTCTAGGACAGAAATCTCACTCTAGAACTTGGGCTAGCCCCAAGGTTATTACAAACTCCAACTAATCCTCTTGCTCCAGCCTCCCAAACGCTGGGATTACAATCGGAAGTCACCGGCCTGCTTCACTGTTTTTTATGCTGGTCTTAGTAAAATATACACAAAGAGATTCACTCTTTGAAAGGAAGAACCCCTAGGTATCACCATCTTGCGTGTGCTACTTCAATAGGAATCAGAGGTCCCTAAAGCATGGTGGGGTTTGTTATTTCCTGTTTGTTTTGAGACAGATATTACTAGGTAGCCTAGGCTGGCCCAGATCCTCCTGTCTCAGCTTCCTGAGTGTTAAGATTATAGGTATGCACCATTAGGTCCAGCTCCTTTAACCTTGTTTTAAAAGAAAGAATAAATTTCAAAGACATTATCAACATTTTTAAGAAACTAGTCTGGAAGCATCACTTTTTGACAATAACTAGATGTTAAGTACAAAGGGACAAACATGAATATTTTCTTTTTACTATTTCCTCATAGTTCTCATGGAAATGAGTTACCCTTCATATGTAAGAGTTAGTGCTTAATTAGAACCTCCTATAACACATTGAACCCTTACTAATTTCCTTCATACCCAGCAGTGCAAATATTTTTTAAAAAGTAAAAATAACAAATCAAATTTTTATTTTATTTAAAATTAGAATTTTAAAGGAGACATTTAGGTGGGTCAATTTTTCTCTTCTTCAATAAAGAATTATTCTTTTCCCTTTTGAAGTTGCCAACAATTTTATTCTTGTCCTTACTTGCATAAAAAAGTTCTGAAAATCAGAAATCTTGATTTGAGTACCACATTCAAGCACTCTGCAGACAGTTCTTCACATATGGAAGAGGAAAACAGTGGAGTGCCAAGATTCTTCTAAATGTATTTTTGTGCTTTTATAAGTCTCACACACACAAAAAAAAAAAAAAAAAAAACTCCAGTGTGGTTTTAGTGAAGACTGTTACAAAATTTACAGGATCAGGAACTAATCAACTGCTGCCAACTAAAACAGTGTCATAAATAGAATGGCAAGTCACCCTTCCTGGCACCGTGCCCAAATTAGTTACCTCTGTAAGTATCACTATTACTGTAATCAGGGTAGTTTCAAAGTAAAGGAGTGGCTTGTTATCAATAACCAATCATCTTGGTCTATTTTATAGTAATATATTAAAAACTTGTCAGAATGGAAAAGGCACACAAAATGCATACATGTGCTTATAAAACAATCATCCTCCAAATACTCAGGATATAGTTTCGAATATTTACCTAAAATGTGAAAGTTTTGCAATGTACAAAAATTCAAATGTTTATCAGAACTTTTAAAATATCAAAACTTACCTAAATAAAAACTGCCTATTTAGATTGGAAACATCTATAGTATCCATGTCTATAACATGAATCTGTCTGAAACCAGACAATGCCTGTGGAAAGAACAACAATCTAATTAGACAAGAGTTTTCTTTCTTTTAAAACATAACAAAAATATATGTCCCAAATCCATACATTTACAGTAATAAATTCTACATAATTGCATTCTTTGGCTTAAAATAAAGTCTGTACAATGCATAAAATGCATGAATATTATCAAAGGCCAAAAATGCACAAGCATTCAGGTTTAAAACATCTATAACCAAGAGAAAACTCACAAAGATAGCTTTCCATCTGCTGCCCTCTCTGCCTAGAACCTTTCCTTCCCAGTGTGCTAGCACACTCCTCAGTCCCCACTCAAACTGCACCTTCTGAAAACGCTGCCCTTCACCACCAGCTGCCTACTCACTCTTCCTTTCTCCATCTATTTACTACCATCTGACCTCTCTCTCTCTCTCTCTCTCTCTCTCTCTCTCTTTCTCCAACAAAAATATGACTCCCATAAATAATCACTTGTCTATGTCACTCCATTTGAGTTTTTAATCACCTAAATGGTGCCTGCCATTTACAAGAAGAGGTTCAATAAGCATTTGGTTAATCAGTGATATTAATGTCATAGTCTCCCCTTTTCTCTTTTTAGAATGAGCCCTTAGGGGGCTTACAGTCAATAAAAAGGAAGAGGAAAAAAAATTATCCATGTCTTCTATGCTTACATTTAATACAAGCAAAATAACAAATTATAAAGTAAAGGCCTACATTCTGTGTATGAGCGTAAAAGATCAGAATATTGCAAATTAATAACAGAACTACTCCCTGATGTTGCTTGACGAATAATCCTCAGATCTAATCTTTAATGACAATAATTTAAAAGTCAGTATACACTGCAACAGTAAATCATGGTTTCAAAATGAAAAAGTTAAGCTTTAACAGACTTGTTCATGCCTAATGCCTAAACAAAAAAACACGGTCAGCTCCACAAACTCTTCCCTTCTCTAAGTTTTACATTTTCACACTGCTAGTGTAAGTCTGAGAGGGTGCTACCATTTTGGAACACTACACTAATCCATACATACTGTTATTTACTTCAGTAAGACTTATTTATCTCCCCAAATTTCGAATTCACTGCAGACAGAGATCACAATGGCCTACATTCCCCACAGAACTAACACAGCACTAAACAGAGTGAGTTATTTCATTTTAAAACTTTGGTAGGAGCAATACTAGTGTTTCTTAGCAAATCAGTGTAGCTGTCAGGGCTGAAGACATGGCTTAGCAGTTAAGAGCACTTACTGCTCCTGCAGAGGACCTGGGTTTGGTGGATCACAAGTTTCTGCAATTCCAGTTTCAGTGTGACACCCTCTTCTGACCTCCCTGGGCAGCAGGTACCACGTGGTATACATACATGTACGCAAATCACTTATAAATGTAAATAATAAACCTTGTAAGTAAGTAAATTTAATTATTGGCAGGTTTTTGGTGTCCTGTCTCTGGCTAGAAGCTGCTTAATCTTCTAGTTATCCACCTTATACACAGTGAGAAGCCAGGCATACAGCTACCCTACATTAATTCTCTCCTTCTTCAAGCTGTTAGACAGAAACTTCTACAAAGCTACTTCATGGTGATAAGAACTCTAAGAACGCAATTACATCACAACTATTTACTTCTAAACAGTACACAGAAATAGATTTAGTAAAGGCTCAGCTGTCCCAAATCTTGGCATTCACTATCACATGGTCATCAAGAACTGATGACCTGAGCTAGATTCTAAGAACCTCACTACAGCCCAGGAGGAAATGAGAGTCTTTTAATTTTGCTGCACCTCAATGTGCCCTTTTGGATAAAACGACACAAAACATCACCTAACTGGATTATTTGGAAAATCAAAAGAAATGATAAATTATTTGAGATTACACATTAAAAGATGAACTACTCTGTTATTTACTTCAATGAAATAAAATTAGCTCTAGGCAAAAGGAAGCAACAACAAAAAAGAGCAGAGAAGAAACAAATGACTTTAAGCCTTTCAGAGTTCCAAAGTAACATTACATAATTTTATTACTGTATAGAACCTGGCCTGCTAAACTTACCCAATAAATGTACAAGGAAAAATTAACAATCATGATATGAAGGCATTCCTCATATGACAAAAAGTAAAAGGACTTACTCATCTCTAAGAGAACAGTATGTTATATGTGATATATTACCAGGTTTTTCAGGAGCTCGCATCCTAAGCCACCAGCTCCAATGACTAGAACTTTGCATGTATCTAACAAGAACTGGAGCGACTGCAAAGAAGGAAAGGCACATTAGACACTAGGGAGCACTACAGGACCCACGAACAAGGCAACAAGCCACATGATAGGTGTTAATGCAGGCATAAAAAGGGCAATTATCTATAACAAACAAACCTGGCGTATCATCAATTACTTCAAATTATAAAAGAGATGTAATTACAAATCTTGAAAGCCTAATGATTTCATAGTTTCGATCTTAACACTTAAAGTTGACTATATGAAATTAAAAGCCTCTTCTAACCAGAAAACGTACCTCTGAGGCTGCAGGACTCAACAGATAAGAGCACTTGTTGCTCCTGCAGAGGGTCCAGGTTTGGTTTCCAGCACGTATGTGGTGGCTCACAACCATCCATAACTCAAGTTCCAGAGTATGGAGGGCCCTCTACTGACATTTGTGAGTACTTGGCACACACAGTGCACATACATACGTGAAGGCAAAACTACTCAGATCATAAAATAAAAACAAATCTAAGAAAAATTTTAAAAACTACCCCTAGTTATTTTTATCTTTTTTTCAATGGTTGGTTTATCATTTCATAGGTAATGTAACAACCTTACTACAGTATTTTCTATTTTCCTTCTCCCATTCTTTATGTTTTTTAATTTTTAAATTTTAGGGAAGATATCAATTACTTAACTAATTTTTCTCAAAACAAAAAAAAAGTGTAAATGTCAAAACCAGAAGATAAAGGGACATCAGTGTTTGATGATCTAAAAAAAAAAAACGAGGTAAGAATAGTTACAGTTTCCTTTGAACAATGAATAAAACTTATAAAATGGTAGAAATTCAGGAAATTCCAAATCAGCAGAAAAACAACTTAGAAAAATTGCTTAAGAGAAGTGACAGTCTTAAGCTAGTGTACAGAAACACTTTCAAAGTACAAGAAAATACGATTTAACTGTATTATCCAAAGAAAGAATTAATACTAAGCATTCTTTTCACCATTAAAGGATGAAAGGGATCCATTTACACAAGCTACTGAGCCAAATTCAAGAGTTTACACAACAACTTAATGAGTAATTTTTCTATTTCAAAATCTCTTCACAGACACAAAAGACATAAAACACACTATATAGAATAAGTTTTCTTCCTACTTCGTAGTAAGAAACAATTTTTTATCTAATTAAATATCTGCTTTAAGCCAGACAAAGTTCAAAATATATATTACACTGAAAGCACGTTTTTAACATTCAGTTAATTATAGTCAATGTTAAGTAAAGATTTCCAAATAAAATACCTAAGTAAGTATACCTTAGTATTTTAAGAATTAATTTACCATAGTAGTGCTACAAAAGGGAAAATGTATCTTAGGAATACTTTTAAACTAGAATTTTAAGCATACCAGAATATGAAATCATCAAGTTATTCTACTCTTGAAAATTTTAAACTTACATGAAAATGTAAAACTGCATAACTAGTCATTTACATAAAATCAATCGTAAAGATTTAGTTCAATATTCACAATAACTTAATTTCACAAAACAGCTTTAGTGATTTGAATTTCAGCAAATTAAAAAGGAAGCATTTTATTATTTTTGAAATGTAAAACTATTAGAGCAGTTATTTAAAAATAAATGTTTCTCACTTCAGTGCTTGGTTCGAAATCAGGGTGTGTGAAGGGTCCAGATCGCTCGAGGAACTTCTTTACATGGTTCCAGCGACCTTCCCAGTCTCCAGTGTCCCCACACCCACCATCAACAGCCATTCTGCATAGAACAGAGTAAATTCCACTGCAAAGATCAGTATGAAAAAGCCACGCCTACAACTATTAGGTCTCCCCAGATGTAAACGTAATCACATCAGACCTGCTCAAACAAAAAGGAAAACTGAGTTGTGGTTATAGTTTCCCAATTTTGGCTCTTCTGTTACAAGAAAGCACTTTTCACCTACTTGACTAAATAAGCCAGTCTCTTTTCCTAGCTTCCTCAGCACCCAAAGATCAAAGTGAGAAAAGGACTTCCCTCTGTGTGGTATTTACAGTCACTGTGAAAGTCCATAATCTGTTCCTTCAATATACTTGGGTAGGGAGTCAGCAGATGAAAAGGGTGCGGGGAACTTTGAGAACTATGCTGCTTCAAATCTAATACTATCTGTGGCTCCTCCCAAATTGGACAGGTGCGATCTACAAAACCTTTTGGATAAAAACAACTCTCAACATTTATTTTCCTTAGAGGTCCCAGGATGTTTTTTAAAGTCCTCTGTTAATACTGTCACTACATACACAAAATGTTTAGGTTAAAATTATGTCATAGATAGCATTACCATCAAGAAATCTTTGAGACTATGCAATAAAATAAAGTGGGACTCCTCTTTTAAAAAAAAAAGAACCACATGCACTTTATAATTATAGATTCATGTTTGGTTGTGATAACTTTCCTGTAACTGGGCAATTTCTACCCTCAAATATAGTAGTGATATCAAATTTTTACAAAAAAAAAAGATCAACATGTATTGCATAGTTGGGTTTCATTCCACAACCAAGCACATCCTAACCTTGAGAACATTACTCAACTGTCAGAAACCTCAACAGTAGATTGCAACTACTTCTGATGGTCATGAGATAAAGATACAATTACACTAAGGACTTAGGACTGCTCTTGGCATATAGCAAGCATGCAAACTTTGCCATTTCATGCAAAAAAGGGGGGAGGGGGAATTAGAAGGTGGGAAAGAAATGTGAACTTTTGCATTTGAAATTCAACCATGAGGGGAACATGGGAAAGACCAAAGTACTACCGAGAAGTGACACAGAAATTATTAATTCACCACACCCACTACAGGAGTATTTTCTTTTCCCTGCCACGGAGGGAGGGGAACCATGTAGGATTGGTCATATGAAAAGAACTATAAATCTGTGGCATCAAGAAAACAAGTAACTAATACAGGTTATGGGATAAATGAGCGAGCAAGTGCTGGGGTCGACATACCCTTTAAGACCCAATTGCTTTGCAAAACTGACACGTTTTAACACAATTCTTGACGCACAGTGTTCATAAAAACTTTATAATGTGTATTAAGGACCCAAAACAGGTCTCGTGTCCATTTAGATTTAAATTGGATTCACTTGCCACAAGGTCCCAGCTCTGACAATCTGGGTTGGAGGAAGACGGGGCCACCGGGCGGCTTTTGCAGGAGCACAACCGGGGAGCGACCGGTCAGTAGCCCGGCATGGGGACAGGGTCAGGGGTGAGGCCGCGCGGCCTGCTCCGGGTGCCCCCCTCCCAGACCCCGGGCCCGCTGCGGCTGGTCCCCTAGGCCTGGGGTTGAAGGGAGGCGGGGGTCTCCGGAGAGGACCCCGGCCTCCCGGCAGCACTAACTTCTCAGCCAGCAGCTCCTCTATTCTCCTTCTTTTCTTCTCCCTAAAAGAAAGAGAGAATAAAAGAAGGGTCAGCATCAAGCTCCACAGAGGGCGCCGCAAGGGTATGGGGGGGACGAGGGGACGGGGCGGGTGTTGGGGAGTCCCCGGGTGGCAGCGGTGACCGCCCACTGCCGCGCTCACTCACAACCCAGCCCAACCCGGCGCTCTGGCAAAACCCCGATACTTACGGCTCCTCGCCATCCGCCATATTGTTCCCCGCCTCTTCCCAGAGGCCTTCGCGGCGGGTGGACCCGCCCGGGAGGGGCGGAACTGCAAGTAAATGGCAGGAGAGGGGGCGGAGCCAGAGCGGGAGGAAGGCGCTGCTGCTGAGGAAATGAGAGGGCGGGTCGGGGGCGTGGCCTCAAGGGTGGGCGGAGCTGGCATTTGGAGGACGGGGATTTAAGGAGGGAGGAGAAAATCTTGCAGGTGCGAAGGAGGCCGGACCCACACATAGAGAGAGGTTGCCAGGAAGAGGAACGAGGGGCGGGGCCAGTACAGGGGACCGGACTTCAGGGAAAGAAGGGAGGGCCAGGGCTGTCTGGGGACGCAAGCTGAACCTAGGGTAGCCTTGGGTAAGGTGGCTACTAAGGCTCCCTTGGGCCTTTTAAGCATTTCACACTAATTAAATTCTTGATTAATTGTACCTACTTAAATAATATTATGCCATCTATAATGTTGCCACGCAGCATAAACTTAGGTGCAATTTATTTATACATTTGTATGGTAACAAAAATTGCATAAAATGTTGATTAAGTTCTATTTAAAAGCTAAAAGAATCGCCCTAATATGCCAGTGCTCTTCTCCGGGAAAAATAGTGAGAAGAATTTCCGTTCTCCGTAATTCAGGAAGATTCAAAATCTTTGTCTTTATAGGCAATTTAAAACATTAAATAGAAGTAAGGTGGAGAGTCTTATTTTCTTTGTGAAAATCTATATTAATATTTTACTTTCGCATCATTCTGTCAAAAAACTATACGGTTATTCATAAATATATCCATATATATACTAGATTGAATTGAATCAATTGAATGATTGATAGATGAGATAGGTGATAGATATGAAAAATAGAGAAATTTATTGTATGATCCATTACCTAAAGATGGTAATAAATGCCAATGAAGTTTTGATTCTTTTTTTTCTTAGAGAAAGCATTTTAATTACATATAAACAGTTTTAATTTATAATTTTTACTTAATAGAGCTTTTAATACTTTTTAACAAAGAATAAATATTTTAGCTTTCAGAAAAAATAAATAAAACATTTTACAAAGGGAGGGATACTGACTGAAAAAATTGTGAACTATTGACTTTTTCCTTCACGGTCACATACTGTCTGCAAGTGAGAGTCACTAGACTAGACAAGAAAAGGAAAAATAATTATATTCATATGTTTTAAATATCTCTCTACACAAATTTATCTCCTTTACTGAGGTGAGAAAGAAATTTAAAATGGAGTCTGAGCTGAATTTAAACCCTTACTACCCAGCTACTAGCTATGAGACCTTGGACATTTCCAGACCCCCATTTTTAAAGTAAAAATACAATATTTACCAATTAATATTGAAAATTAAGTGAAATCCTGGGTGATTCTCAAATATGGTCCTTGATCAGAATCACTTGAGTGTTTAAAATGCCAGTTTTTTGAGTTTTATAATAGGTGGTTTTGTGGATGTGTTGTTCAGAAATCAATAAAGTGCCCGAGATGAAGCTTTCAGGGGCTCATTAAAGTAGGGGCTGTTCCCCGCTTGTGGCATCTCATCTATTCTTTGTCCTTTTCTTCATTGAGCCTTAGAGAAAGCTTGTCTGTTATGAGCCCCCGGCTATGTTCATCAATAGCATTCATTGAGCTAAAAAATCAGTCAGAGTCAGGCAGCAAGTGGGAGAGGAGAATTCAAGGGTGACACCAGGAGACACCCACCTCTTCCTAAGTCACATATCTCAAGCTCAACTCAACATTTTTCTTTTCTTGCCCAGACAATTCCACACATGGACCTTACTAAGATGAAATCATTTCTGGCCAAGAAGGGATTTCTGTGGGCGGGCCTTTGATTCATGACAACAAATATTTTGGCCCCCTCAGAGAATAAAAACTAACAGAGATTGGCCATCTATGTCCCAGAGGAAGATACAGAGCCTTAGAGATAAGACAGAAATATCTAAGAAAAAAGTCTGGAGAGACAACAGTTAAGAGTATTGCTGCTCTTCCAGGGGACATGGGTTGAATCCCCAGTACCCACACAGGACTTCACAATAGCTCATAACTCTGTGGGCACCAGCACTCAAGTGGTACAGATAGATGTTCATGCAGACAAAACACCCCAAAAAAGCCTACAAAGGTCTTAGTCTTGCATCGCTGTGTCTTGAGTGACACCTTGACTCAGCATGTTGACAGCTGACATCCCATTATTAGATCAGCTGATTAGAAATTGCCATCTATCCAGGCAGTGGTGTGGCTCATGCCTTTAATCCCAGCACTGCAGAGGGCAGGCAGATCTCTATGAGTTCGAGCCCAGTTCTAACTTGCTTATCTACAAGGCGAGTTCCAAGATAGTTGGAGCTACACAGAGAAACCCTATCTCTAACCCTCCCCCCCCCCAAAAAAAAAGAAAGGAAGGAAGGAAGGAAGGAAAGAAGGAAGGAAGGAAGGGAAGAAAGAGTGAGCGAGCCATCTCCATTTCCTCATGCGGACAGTAACAGTGGCATGTGAGCAAAATCCTCAGTGGATTCATTTCATTTGCATTTATGACAGAGCACATCATCATAAACTATTAGACATTTGCTATAGTATATGGCCAGACAGAAGAATACTCAGGGTGGTGCTTACTAAAGCTTAAGCCCCTGTGGAAAAGCCACAAGAGACTTCAAAAGAAAGGGGTTATTTATGTGTATGTACCCTGTGTGTAGGTATATGTATGCATTATGTGTATGCCTACAGAGGCCAGAAATAAAGTACCAGATACCCTGGAGCTGGAGTTGCAGGCCATTGAAAGTCATTTCATGTGGGGCTTCGAGAAGAACAGCAAGCACTCTTTTTTTTTATTTATGTATATGAGTGCTCTATCTACATGTATGCCTTTGTGCCAAAAGAGGGCATCACATCCCTCTATAGATGGTTGTGAGACATCATGTGGGTCCTGGTAATTGAACCCAAGTCCCCTGGAAAAACAACCAGTGCTCTTAATTGTTGAGCCATCTCTCCAGCCCCACAGCAAGCACTCTTAACCACTGAGCAGTCTCTCCATCCCTTGTTGTAAGAGACTTCTACAATGAATCTGCTCATTCCTACTGCCCCCACACTAAAAACAGTGAAGTAGCTTTTAAACAGAGACTGGAGCAAAGTTGATTCAGTGTGTGGCCACTCTCATTTAAAATGGTTGGATGACATGGTATATATAAAAATAGATATATATATATATAGTATAATTATATTATAATATATAAATCATATATATATTTATAAATAAAAACAAGTGAACAAACAAAAACCTACCCATAATCCAACGATAGAAACATACTCAATATTTTCAGAGAGAAGAATGGGCACTGACTCATGCTATAAACAGAAAACCAAACAAAAACTAGACTCTTTTGGATTCTCTTTCTCTTTTATTTGTAGTAATGAGTGATGAACCCGGGGATCTGTGCATGATAGAAAAACTGCCATTGAGCTACATCCATACCCATTTTCTTTTTATTTTGAAACAAAGTCTACCTAATTTATACAAACAGTAGCCTAGCAATCCTCCTGCCTTCAGTCTTCCAAGGAGATGAGGAAGGAGGCTTGTACCACTGCCCTCAACTGTCTTTGGAGGATTAAACAAATAAAAATATAACCAGCTAGTGTTTATTGCCTGTGATGGAGTAGTGGTGATGTTATTGATCCATTTTTGACAGCCTTTTTTCACGCACTACCGAGAAGCTGGAAGGCGGAAGCTCTTCCTTATAGTTCTCAATGCTCACAAGTTTCTCTAACAGGAGCTGCACTGTCTTCCCTCCCCCGCCACTGGGCTAAGATCATTCACTCAGTTTGCTCACACTGCTGCCTCTTAAGTTTCTTTGGCTCTGGGAATTCCTCCATGCCTTCTGACTTGCTGGGACTGAACAGAGGCTTGGCACATGTAGCCCTCTGCTCACTGTCTCCTAGTTGAGTGTTTCCTGCATTGCGGGTTCTTTGAAGGCAGAGTAGGGCAGGAGCTTCCCCTGTTTGCCTCCCCACAGTGCTTTCATGGAGCCTGGAAGGGACTTAGAGCATCGGTTGGCATGGTACTAAGCTGTCGTACATCTTTGTCCCACCCTCTCTATAAAGACACAGCCACAATGATCAGTGGCAGCATGATGGAGAAAAGTCATTAGATGTTTGCTATAAAAGTGTAGAAAACAAGATGAAACACTGTAGACATCAACCAGGTAAATCATGGGTTATACTATCCTTCCTTCCTTCCTTCCTTCCTCCCTCCCTCCCTCCCTCCTTCCTTCTTCCTTCCTTCCTTCCTTCCTTCTTCCTTCCTTCTTTCCTTCCTCCCTTCCTTTCTTCTTCCTTCCTTCCTTCCTCCCTCCCTCCCTCCCTTCCTTCCTTCCTTCCTTCCTCCCTTCCTCCCTTCCTCCCTTCCTCCCTTCCTTCTTCCTTCCTTTCTTTCTTTCTTTCTTTCTTTCTTTTTTGTTGCAATAATGGGAGCTGAATACAGGACCAATGTTGTTCCATGTTAGGCAAGCGTTGATCACTGAACTATGTATATCTAGCCCTCTTCTTGCTTTTTATGTTGAGATGGAGTCTCACCAAATTGCTCATTCTGACCTGGAATTCACTTTGCAGCCCAAGCGAGCACTGAACTTGGAATCCTCCTGCCTCAGTCTCTGGAGCAGCTGGGTTTCCAGGTCTGCCTCACCAGGCCAAGTTTATATTGTTATTGATAACTGTAAAATCTGTGAATGCTTATGTATACTATGTATATGTTTACTATGTATATGCTAAGCACTTCCCAAACATCCCTCATTTAGCCTCACCTCTGTGGCAGATTTTCTACTAGCCCCAATTTGCCTATGTAGAAAGTAAGGCTAGGGAAAGTTTAAAAAAAAATAAGTTCTCCATGGGGCTGTTCTTTCAGAGGACCCAGATTCAAGTCCCAATACCCACACTGGCAGCTTACAGCCATCTATAATTTCACTTCCAGGGGATTTGACACCCTCTTCTGATCTCAGCAGACACAAGGCATGCACATGGTACGCATACATAATAGAGTCAAAATAGTCATTCACA